GAGATACTAGGGATGTAAGTAACAGGAACAAATGCCTATATTACACAAAAGGAAAGATCAGAATAAGACCAAACTCTTAAGAAATTAAAAATGATAGCGGAAGTAAAAGTTTTAGCAGAAGGAATGGAAGATAAACGTCAAAGGAATCTTCTAGGAAGGAAGTAGAACAAAAAGACAAAGATGGACAATAGGAACAGAACAAAGGACAACAGGAATGCAATTGAAAAATTAGAGGATCATGTTAGCAAGTCAAATAGCCTATAGTTATGAGCCTCAGGAAAAAAACTGAGAAAACAGAGTGGAAGACATTATCAAAAAAATAACACAAGAACACTCCCCAAAATGTGGGTTCCATAGTGAAAGCAGAGTAGCAATACAGGGGAAGAGAAAAGGTCCACAGCAAGACTCATCAGCAGGAAACCTCACAATGTTGGGGAGAAAAACAATGTCTCAAAAAAGAATATCCTAAGATTTGGGAGGGTAATATTAAGTCACAAATAAACTGTGAATAGGAATGACATTGGACTTTTCAATGATGACACTGGAAGCTAGAAGACAGTGGTTCAATGATTTTAAAATTGTGAATTAAACTGACCTCCAAACCAGAAATCTCTACCCAAACAATCTTAATCAAGCGTGAGAGATGAATAAAGACATTTTCAGAAATACAAAGTCACAAAAGTTACCTCCCACGCACTCTTTCTCAGAAAATAACAGGAGGATGTGCTCCATCAAAACAAGAGNCCAGTAACTTAAACCAGTATTTTCATTAAAATGAGTAAAGAAAAGCTTTTGAGTTCATTTCACCCACATTAACAGAGAGTATTCTGGGTACATCCTCCTTTGATCACCACCTTTTCAGAATTAATTCCCATTGCCCAGGCTAATGCTGTTTCTTCAGGAAGGTACATTAATATTTACATGGCATCCAGTTTCCCGTTTCCATGCATTAAATTCAGCCCCAAAAAGCAAACACAACTTCTGGAAAGGTACTCAATGTCTTAGGGCACAGGGAAAGCATCTCTCTCACTTTTCAGCAGGTTAGTATGATGCCTATGATCAAAATGAATGAGACAAACAGTCACCAAAAGTAAATTCATTCTTCCTATTAGACCAAAAAACAAAAATCTAAATTTCATAGATAGAATTAAAAAAAATATTTGTCAGAAATAGAAATCTGAAAGTTCAAATGTTTACAAGTGTTGTTTTCTAATGGATATTTAACCTGTAAATCTCTTTCCTTTTAAACTGAACCATAATTGCCAAGAGCAGCTTTTAAAGATGACAAATAGCAAGTGGTCTTCAAATAGTGTGTATGTGTATGTGCGTCGTGGACACATATGTATGTATATGAAGTGTGTGTGTATATATGTATATGCTTGCTATGTGCATGTGTATATGTATATACATGTATACGTGTGTATATATGTATATGCTTGCATACGTGCATGTGTATATGTATATACATGTATACGTGTGTATATATGTATATGCTTGCATACGTGCATGTGTATATGTATATACATGTATACGTGTGTATATATGTATATGCTTGCATACGTGCATGTGTATATGTATATACATGTATACGTGTGTATATATGTATATGCTTGCATACGTGCATGTGTATATGTATATACATGTATACGTGTGTATATATGTATATGCTTGCATACGTGCATGTGTATATGTATATACATGTATACGTGTGTATATATGTATATGCTTGCATACGTGCATGTGTATATGTATATACATGTATACGTGTGTATATATGTATATGCTTGCATACGTGCATGTGTATATGTATATACATGTATACGTGTGTATATATGTATATGCTTGCATACGTGCATGTGTATATGTATATACATGTATACGTGTGTATATATGTATATGCTTGCATACGTGCATGTGTATATGTATATACATGTATACGTGTGTATATATGTATATGCTTGCATACGTGCATGTGTATATGTATATACATGTATACGTGTGTATATATGTATATGCTTGCATACGTGCATGTGTATATGTATATACATGTATACGTGTGTATATATGTATATGCTTGCATACGTGCATGTGTATATGTATATACATGTATACGTGTGTATATATGTATATGCTTGCATACGTGCATGTGTATATGTATATACATGTATACGTGTGTATATATGTATATGCTTGCATACGTGCATGTGTATATGTATATACATGTATACGTGTGTATATATGTATATGCTTGCATACGTGCATGTGTATATGTATATACATGTATACGTGTGTATATATGTATATGCTTGCATACGTGCATGTGTATATGTATATACATGTATACGTGTGTATATATGTATATGCTTGCATACGTGCATGTGTATATGTATATACATGTATACGTGTGTATATATGTATATGCTTGCATACGTGCATGTGTATATGTATATACATGTATACGTGTGTATATATGTATATGCTTGCATACGTGCATGTGTATATGTATATACATGTATACGTGTGTATATATGTATATGCTTGCATACGTGCATGTGTATATGTATATACATGTATACGTGTGTATATATGTATATGCTTGCATACGTGCATGTGTATATGTATATACATGTATACGTGTGTATATATGTATATGCTTGCATACGTGCATGTGTATATGTATATACATGTATACGTGTGTATATATGTATATGCTTGCATACGTGCATGTGTATATGTATATACATGTATACGTGTGTATATATGTATATGCTTGCATACGTGCATGTGTATATGTATATACATGTATACGTGTGTATATATGTATATGCTTGCATACGTGCATGTGTATATGTATATACATGTATACGTGTGTATATATGTATATGCTTGCATACGTGCATGTGTATATGTATATACATGTATACGTGTGTATATATGTATATGCTTGCATACGTGCATGTGTATATGTATATACATGTATACGTGTGTATATATGTATATGCTTGCATACGTGCATGTGTATATGTATATACATGTATACGTGTGTATATATGTATATGCTTGCATACGTGCATGTGTATATGTATATACATGTATACGTGTGTATATATGTATATGCTTGCATACGTGCATGTGTATATGTATATACATGTATACGTGTGTATATATGTATATGCTTGCATACGTGCATGTGTATATGTATATACATGTATACGTGTGTATATATGTATATGCTTGCATACGTGCATGTGTATATGTATATACAAAACCAGAAATCTCTACCCAAACAATCTTAATCAAGCGGGAGAGATGAATAAAGACATTTTCAGAAATACAAAGTCACAAAAATTACCTCCCACGCACTCTTTCTCAGAAAATAACAGGAGGATGTGCTCCATCAAAACAAGAGTTAAACCAAGAGAACGTTCTGGAGTCCATGGCAAGGAGAAGACTCAGGGTGATAACAAAGGGGAAGCCCACAGCAGCTGTGCAGACGTTCATGAGAACAAGCGCTGTAGACAGGGCCACCAGGGGGAAGGGCCCCATAAGGGGAACATCCAAGGAAAAAGCAAACAAGGAATTAGATTTTCTAATAGTTCTGACCATGCACTAAGAGGTATTTGACCTGAGAGGCCACACTTGTCCGTCTCTTTTTCTTTGGCTTGAGTCCCACTCCAGCCTCAGGGGCTTTATACTGGCTCTTCTCTCTGCCTGGACAGCCACAGGGTTTTACTCAAATGCCAGCTTGTCACTGAGGTCTTCCACCTGTCAAAATGCCAGCCTCTCCTCCTCTCCCCATCACACACAATCTTCCCAAATCAGTTTCTCTCCTTAGTACTCATAACTCTGTACACGACTATGTATTTTTATTATCAACCATGTCCTCTTGCCGCCTGTTGCCAAATGTAAGCTCCAATAAGGCAGTGAACTTTTGTGTATTGGTATTTTTTAAATGAATGAATGAAACACTGTAGTCACAAATCTTAAGAAATAACCGAGTAAAATAAAAATTAAGGCAATTAAGAAAATGAGAAAGTTGTAAAGTAAGTGATAATAAATACCATATACTACTTAGTTCGGCAGTGAAAACATATAATCAAAATAATGGAAAAACTGTAGTTAATTAATCAGTCCAATAATTATGTTGTAACTAATGGTAGGATAACAAGAGCAATAGAGGTTTGTCAGTTTATATGGTCTTCCTCTAACACCATATAGAGTGAATAGGCAATTTCTAAATTTAGTGACTCAAGAAATAATATATATATTTGAAAATAAGAAAAGGAGGAATGAGAAAAACAGCGTAAAGAGCTGTAAGTGGCACAGCAGAGTGCACAGGACTGCTGTGTTTTGTTATACATATTTCAGCTCTCTTTCATGTTTAAATTACATACATACATATAAAAATTTGATAAAAGTAAAGTAAGGCATTTATTTAAAAGGAAAAAATGTCTTTTCAAAGTCTAAGAAAGTTTGATTCCTTGTAATTCATCTTATTATGGCTAGCATATAGTGAGTACTCAATAAATACTTGGATGAATGAATAGATTCTGACTGTATAAAAACACAAGGAAAATGCTTCTGAATTTCACATTAAATCACACAGTATGTGTTCTCTGACAGCAGAAAGATAAAGTGCTTCATAAAGACTTTGTTTTTGATTTAAATCATTGACGAAGGAGAAAAACATAGAAGCATTTAAATCAGGGCCAATAAATATTAATAAACTAGAAACGTACAAAGGAAAATTTTCTTGAAGTTTTAGTTAGAAAATACTTATAAAAAAAAGTTACACTTTACCTTTTTACCTATAGTCTTGAGCGGTATCAAGTAGCCATGTACTGCCACCTAGTGGCTATATCTACATGCACAGCCTAGCTTTGCCAAAGCAAAGAGGATTTTCAGTAAAACCATTAATCATCCTTCCATTCATCCATCCATCCATCTCAATTCAGCAACTAAATCTCGAACAAGAGTATGTACAGAGAAAAGACAGGCAGTAAAGCTAAAGTATTTTATTAATAATTTATTGTCAGTAAGAAAGACTGGCTAATGGTAGTTTTCAGTAAAAACCTTTACAAGACCATTGCATCACAAATATACAGACACTATAAAAACTGTGTCATGGTGGTTTTGGTTCTAAACAGGTATGCAGAAGGTCTCCATTACACTTTCCAATAATGAAAAATGTTTATAACTCTAAAATACAGCAACCCATTTAAGACATGTCCATGTAATAAGATCTTTCCTCACCCTATATACAGCTAGAAATGAATGACTATTGAAATGTATTAATGAAATGTCATACTTCAGTGGAAAAAGACATATAGTGAAGCCCTGGTTATATTAAAAAATCAGGGTGCTAGGTAATGACACTAACACCACCAAATTTCCGCTGAAAACAAATACACAAAATATCTTGAAAATCTAGTTAAAACTATGAAAAATCAAATCTGTACATGAAATTTACAAAAAAAGAAATCAGGAAAATTAAAATAATCAAATCTATATAAATACATGAATCATGCTAACAAGATGGGAGGACTGATTTTCGTTTCATTATTTTAACACGGACAAACGTAAATACAGAAGATGTTCAGAAATGGCACAGCCAATGAAAATCTCATCCGATGACAGTAATTCAGGACACCGGAAATGGCTAACATGTCAAGAGTCATGTGACTCGGTGCAGCCATGCCCATTTTAGCTCACTGAAAAAAAGCGCTTAAGCACTGCTCCAAAGAACAATGCAGATTATTTATATAATCTCTAGGTTTATTAAAGTCCAGGCACTTTGGGGGAAACTTGAGCGTCAGACTTCTGTGTGTTGCTGGGAATCTAGTGGAGGAATCGTCACCTCTTCAAAGTGGCCATCGTCTCCGCTCTCATAGTCACTCATCATGATCTCAGACTCCACTTCACAGCATGCTGACACATCAGAGCAGGAAGCTGTGGAAGCGTACACAGACATGGGCATGTTTTCTACAGTGGGGGCTTCGAAGTTCCTTTGATACCCTGGAGGGTAAGCGGTATAGGGTTCTCTACAAGTACTATTCTCACCAGTGCCTCTTTTTTGAGGTTCAGACACATCGACAGGATAGAAATTAGGCAAATACTGATTCAAGTTGAACCTCTGCTGGTTTCTTGATGAAGAACCCAAACTACCTGAAGCAGGCATGTCTCTAGGAGGGTGTATGGATTCAAACTGGTCGCTGAATTCTGGAGGTAATGGTGGCAGTTCGTCAGGGGCAGGGAAGTCTTCCGGCGGTGGTGGAAAATCACTTTCAATGTCGTAACCTCCAGGGTAATAGTCTGTATCGATGGCATTTGGATCTGCTGAGTACAGGGGTGTTTGCTCATCAATAACCTCATAATTGGGGAACTCTTGTATATCTGGCAGAGGAACGCTTGGCATCCAGTCCGAAGTATCCCAGTGATACCCTTGGTAGAAAAGAAAACAAGAGATTTTAGTGCGTTTTCTCTTAAGCTTTTGTGCCATAGAAAAACAGCTCAGTGTCAGAAAGACACAAAGATACAAGCCCTTTTACGCATTCATTCAAGGTTCATCACTTTGGAAACCCTTTGTCTTTGCTTTGAAGAAATCCTCCCTTCCAGCCCCAGTTTTGAAAACTTCTATGAACTAGGCTCTATTCTAAAATGCGGGTATAGTTTTATATAACATTCAAGGAAACAAAAAGAGTTGTAAAAAGCAGTATGTTATCATTTAAGTTACATGCACTTTTCTACAAACAATTCCAAATACCCTTTCAACTTTCCTTCTGTAACTTAGAACCCTTTTGCTCTATATGAAGGACAGTAATGGTTCAGTCTTAGTACATTAATTAGTAAAGAAGTTCTGTCCTTTCAGAAAGGAGTTCCTATTAAGTAGAATATCAAATGTCACTTCATCTGCACTACTTATTAAAAAATACTTATTAATGCAACTTTTTAAAATAACAAAAGTAACCATTCCATGCTAAATTAACAAAAATTTAGAAAATAAACTTCCTTTATAATAATATGTTTAATTTCAAAAACTGCACTATTTTCATTAGCCCTAAGTAAAACAATGAATCATAATATACATATTATCAAAGCATGCCTCTAGATCAAGCAAAATACAATCAAACAAGCATTGAAAAATATAACACAATTTTTGACAGACTACAATAATCAATCTTTATTACTTTTAGAAGGATGAAAAATCATTTTAGACTATATAACAGTATCACAATTTTTAAAAAAAAACAACTCCCAATTTAGGGATAGTTTGTTTTTTTTTCCTCATTAGGATTTTTAAAATCCTTTGACAGATAGGAAGAGGTAAGGCAATAGGTGTTTAGAATGCAGTGCACAAACAACCATGTACTTAGCTCCTGCTGCAAACACTGTACAACCAAGTGAGCAAGTCAGCGTTAGAGTTAAATCTTCACCAATTTTTTTTAGTGAGTATCAATGAACAACTGGCATGCATAAATCACCTCTTGATTTGCTGAGGTCAGGAGCAGCCAAAGATTCTTTTGGTGGCAGAGTAGAAAGAAAAGAAAACATTTATAATTAAAACAGATAGACGGCTGAAAAGGCAATGATGGTGAGAACAAAGTACAATGTAAACTGTTTATAAAGGCCCAGTCAGCCATACACCATGTCTTTAAGCCATTATCTATGAAAATTCCAAATGGCTGAGAAATTTATGTAGCACAAACAAAACGTGATATGGAAGGGGTGGAAAAAAGATGAGTGATGACGAGCCAGAGGCTCTGCCGGGAAACTCAAATATTATCTTACTTTCTTTTCCTTGTTTCTGACAATCTAAACCCAGAAACATAGAACTTTCTTAGGAATAATTAAAATAAAATTTATAGGCTCTAACAAAATGGAAGTTGATCAGGTCATTTGGGTGATAATTCATATACATCTAAAACTACAGCACATTATAATCTTCAGAATTATATTAAATTCAGAGAATTCATGAACAAACTTAGATGTTTATAGATAACAAAAAGCTGAAAATGTCTCCAAACCTTACCTATTTTGAATATGATTTTATATTTACACTGTTCACCTTTCCCTAGAGACCATCAGCTGCACTCTCGCCCGCCCACTCCGAATCTGCAACACACTTGCTCTTTCAGGGCTCTCACTTTTGCACAGAACTCTAGCACCAAGTCAAAAAAACGTGGATGTAAATCCCACTGTGGGGGCCGTGTGATGGCTCTGCTTCAGGTTCTCTTTGAAATCGGGGTGAAAGTCCCTTACAGTTGTAAGGATTAAACCAGAAAATGGAGGTCAAGCACTAACTGTTAGATACCATCAATAATTGTGAAAGTAATACGGTAGAAATAAGGTCACTTTTGTGCTTTTCTAAAAACAAGGCCAAGGCTTTTTTCATGCATTTACCATGTTCTTGAAAACCCAGGTATTAAACTAATTTGGAATAGATACTCATAATATTTGCTTGGAGAATTTAAACGAAAAACTGAAAAGGCTGTGATTGTTCTGAAAAATGAAGAAACCAGTATTTAGGTAACATATCTATAACATTTTTTTTTAAAGTCTATTTAAAAATGCAGTAATTCCTTTAAATAAAGAAAATTGACAACTTGTATTGCTAAATCGGCATTCGATAATCCTTAAAAAATTTAAGCTAATTTTCAATGAAGATTGCAATGAAGGAATTGAAATCTGCTAGTTTAAACTCTACCAATATCAATATTTTTTAAAACGTTGGACTGTCATCATGTTAAAACTAAAGTTTATTAGACAAAATACAGATACCTTTCTGATTTACCAAGCAAAACCATGGCAATTGTTAGGAAAAAAAGTGTTTAAGTCTCATCAGTAACTGTAATTATGAACTCTGAATCCTCTCTCCTGACCCTATCAAATCTGGCACAAAACCATCCTTCTTCCCCCACCTAAATCTTGGCAACACACATGTCCTAGCAAAAAGGATCTCCTGAGCTTTATGGTAACAATGTTTGTGTATTCTTGATGGCCTATGCAATTAGTCCTAGAAGTGTGATCCCTAGACCAGTAACACCAGAATTAATTGGGAACTTGTCAATGCACATTCTCCAGGCCCAACCCAGACCTACTCAGAAACTTTGGTGCTGGGAACAAGCAACCAGGCTTTTAACAAGCCCTCCAGGTGATGTGATTTACATGACATTTTGAAAACTACTAGCCCGTGCCTTTGACATGCAATTACTCTAATTTCAGTGCACTAATAAATGGCTACTTTAAAGTCATTGGAGGGGGGTGGTCAATGTCCTTTCCTATAATTTTAAATACATAAAGTTTAATATTAAATGACTTTCACTAAACCAAATATGAAAATATACCTTCTACCGTGCTCTACCATTTTCTTTGATCATACTCAAGAAAAAAACAAAAGTGAAGAGTCATTTATAGGTAATTACAAGCGCTCTGAGGTAGTCTTATTTCTGTTCATATGAAAAGGATTTTTTTGTATTAGGAAAATTTTAGGTAGTTACAATTACTTCTGAACTTCTTAATATTGTACCACATAAAGGTAAGTTCTCAGGATCCTAAGGGTTACATCTGATGTCTATGTAAATCAGTATGAAAAAATAAAAAGTATGTAAAAAGTAACATGGAGACATAACATATATAGAAATACTTTTGCAATGCATCTGTATTATGAATATACACACCCGCACAAAATAAAAATACTCAACCCCCTCAAAACCACAAACTTGTTTTTTATAACATTACAATAGGCAAAAAGCACAGTACTCTAATGACACAGTCGCTGTAAAACACAAACACAAAGCACAAGCATTTATGACTATACCTTCTTTATTCACTGTGTCAACTATAGCATTGACAAGGTGTATTACAGTCACTATGGAAGCTTGTAAAAAGGTACAAAAGGAGTCAATTAGGAAAATCTTCAGTTAGAAAACAGTGCACAAAGTAGAATTTCTTTTTATTATACAGTTTCTACTTCATAACTTAAAAATGTGAAGTGAATGCTTTAGTACAACTATATAATAAGATTATCATGACTCCTGCACTCTGTTATACGACTCAGAGACTTTTCTAATCAATTTGGTTAATAATTTATTATTATTAACCAAAGGAGTAAAGTAACCATATTTTATTGGAACTTAGAAAAATATTTTTTTAGCTGTAAATTTTTTCACAATTGAAACTGTAGGTCATGTCAGTACAAAATAATTCTTATTTTAACACCTCATGGGCAAGAGACTTTACATTCAAATTGAGTAAAATACTTGGTAAGCCACTCTTCTGGCTCCATTTAATAAACTCATACAGAAAAAATAAATTTAAGGTGATATCTATGCAATATAAATACAAAAATAGTATGTCCCTGTTCTGTTTGCTTGCACCATAAATTTCTTGTCTCTTTACAAACAGACGTAAGAGCTGGTGAGCTAACACACCAGTAGAGAAATACAGACTGTCTGGCTATCTCCTGTGTAAATTCCTTTTTCATTTGTGTGTCAGATTGTTTTAAAGTATCTATGTCAAGATAAATATGCACGAATGTGACAGGCAGAAGGATGGCCCTCCAAGATGTCTACATCCGGAGAACCTGTGATTATGTTACCTACCATCTATGTGCAAAAAGGATTTCATGATGTGAGTAAGTTAAGAACCTTGAGATGGGAGGATTTTCCTGAATTATTGGGGTGAGCCCAATGTAAACACAAGGGTCTTAAAAAGAGAAGACTCTTTCCCGGCTGTGGCTGGAGGGAGGGATGACGAAAGAAGAAAGGTGAATGAAATGCAAAGTTGCTGTCTTTGAAAGAGGGAAGAAGTCACAGCCAAAGAACATGGGTGACCTTGAGAAACTGGAAAAGGCAACAGATTCTTCTCTAGAGCTATGAGAAAGGAAGGCAGAACTATTAATACCTTGATTTTAGCCCAGTGAGACACCCGGACTTCTAAACTACACAACTGTAAGGTTATAAACGTATGTTGTTTCAAGCCACTAGGTTTGCAGTGATCTGTTACAATGGCCTTAGAAAACTAATAGGGTGACTTCACATGAAATTGTTTGAGCTGCTGCCCGCAAGGCACCAATCAGCACATATTTGAGTTTGAGGCCTCTTGGCAGAATTTAATTTTATAGGTGATAATGATTTATATATATTTTTATATATTTACATGTACGTATATGATGTACATATATGTACATTACACTGTATTATCTGGCAATTAATTTTTATAACTAATTTGATCATAACTTATTAAAAGCATTTAGAAGTATTATTAAGAAGAAGAAGGTTTCAACAAAAAGAACTAGAAAAAGAAAGAAAATACTGATACAGTCCTGAAATGTATTTATGAAGAGCATTTAGGGGACAAGACATAAATTATTACTAAACTGGCAACACAAGCTTTTTAGAATTAAAACTAATGAAAAAATAATTCTATCTTGTTGGTTTAACAAGCAAAATTACGTCCGTATACTACATTACTAATAAACACAAGTATACTTTGATATATATATAACATGCTTGAAATCAGAAATGAATGGGACATACTTATGGCCATCTTTAGTTTGGAAAGGACTCTGCAATGTATTATGGACTACATAACTCTGGGTTATGGACTATATTATTCCACCAATAAAATATTTGAAATGTATAAACATGTTACATTTTTATGCAAGAAAAAAATTACAGTTAAACTTACTAAATCTGAGATTTAAAAACTTCCACCAAAAGTTCTGTTTGACAATTCTCTCTACCAGTATGTGTTAATATGGCAAAGCTAGATATCAATGCAATTTATGCTAGGGAAATCACATAAACATAACTGTTTTCAAAGATCCCACTGTCAAACTTGCTTCATTAGAAATATAATCAAACTTACTAGCAATCTCTTAAACTGTGCTCTCAGTCAGTACGCTCTGATCCAAATGGGAGCTGGGGCAGCAGTTGGGTTGGGGGAAGAGACAAATAAAACCTTGTAATACCAAAGGTACTACTGAAATTGAACATTTCAGACTATCACATCTCTTCTTAGAAGTTGGTGTGTGTATGTGTTGTATGGTGAAGGAAGTTGTAACAAGGGTTTTTGAAAAACCCACAAAACTTCCATAACATTTGATGTCATGCCACAAAAAAAAAAGTCAATACACAATTAGTCAATCAGATAAAATTATTTTTCAATGAATTACATTTTATTCCCTATTACTAACAAGTTGCTACAGTTCAAATACCTATTCATTAAGACCACTTTAAATATTTTCCCCAGCAGATGTTCATGCAAGTATGTACAAGGTACTGTTTAAAAGTGGTCCAAGTGAAATATAAAAACATTTTGAGACTCATCAGGGTACCTGGTGCATCTACATAATTACGTAACCTACAGTGAACAGCACTGTGCACAACAAGCAAGAGAATGACAGCCCTTCAACAGCCTGTGCACTCACCAGTGTCATCACACGATTCAGACTGAAAGGAGCTCAGAGACTGCACTTCAGACAGGCTTTCCCGGGCACTGTATGGCTGAGAGGGCTTCTCCTCCAGAGGTTTCTTGGAAAGACAGGGATCAAGATCTACCACTTTGGCTAAAAGGAAGAGACGACAGACAAACATAAGTTCCATGAGGGCCAGGACTTTGTCTTGTTCACTGCTGACATCCTGACCCCATGCAAGCATTACCAACAGGCTCGAGATTTATTTAATAAGTGAACGATTGAAAGAAAAAGAGAAACATCTTAAAGAGTAAAAAGAAACAAAGAAACAAACACACAGGAAAAAGCCACCCCTACATAATATTATATATAATATTCTTGGAGATACATAGAAATTGTCCATAAACATGCATAGGGATATTACTGGACAATAAATGGTATTACGATTTTGTTTTAAATGGCATATATAGCTTTTTAAAAAAGTATCAAATATATGTTAGGCCACTAATATAAATACTGCCGCTCCTTCTGGCTGTATTAAAAAAAAAAAAAATCCTAGCATGAAAATGCTCCTCCCCCATTATATTTTTGTCATAAGTCCCCCAAATTATAATTGAGAACCTGTATCAATGACAAAAATGAAGTGATCTCTCCCGAGTATCAACTGGAACATGACTAAATTCAATTCCTTAATTAAAATAACATCATAGCCACAATGTGAGCTCAGCTAGCACTAAAGACATCCAAAGGTTTTCAAATCATGTAAGAATTTCATATTTTCGGCATATTTCTCTTTAACAAAGATTCCACATTTTGACGTAGCTCTGGCAAAACTTGTAATCTCACTGTTTATCTCAGTAACATTTCAGTGAAATGAAAAAAGTCATTCTTACTGTCATAGTCAAAGTCCCAGTTAGGCTTCTGTATTGAGTCGCTGTCAGAAGGTGAGTTTGAAGGAGGCGGGGGAGGCAGGTTTGGGGCTACGCTGCAGACTGCCACCGCTTTTCGGTGTCCATGCACAGACTCAGGGTTAAAAGTGCTGAATTCAGGATGCTCTGGTATAGCAGATCCTTCAAAGGAATTTCGGTCAAGATTGTTCCTAGAGTCACTTGGAATGCTCGGAGTATAGGAAATAGGACGGACAGGCACCTGGGGTGGTATGTCTGAGTAAATGTTCTTATTTAGCTTTGAATCAAAATATGGTCTTTGCAAGAAAGCTGTGGTTGGTCCCAAGTGTTTGTCTTCAGGTTCAGCCTGGTGTTTCTTCTTTCGACTAATCATCTTGCGGCAGAGAACAAACACCACCACCAGCAAAAATATCCCTGCTATGAAAACAATAATCCCTATTCCTTCTGCCAATCCGATATTCCACGGAGTCGACACATACTGATTGGGGGCGGCATCCTCACAGTGCTTTCCCCTGTGCTCATGGCTGCAGTTACAGTGATAGGAGCCATGCGTGTTCTCACATAGGGCTCCATTACGGCAGGGGTTTCCAGCACATTCGTCAATGTCACTCTGACACCTGCCAAGAAAGCCAAGAACGAGGAGAGACCTTTGTGACAAACGTCAGAATATGCCAAGAACAAAACCGAATGTAAAACAACCAAAAAATATCAACAGCAACTACAACAGAAAACCTTTTGTGAAGTAATTAATCATTTGATTGTATGTTTTGAATGTATATTTGGGAGACAAACATATCAAGCCAAAATTTAACTGCTATTTTTCTAGGGTTCAACAGATTACTAAACCAACCTTATAGGCAAAACATCAGTTTGTTTCTAGTTCTGATAACCAAGCTACCATTCAGAAATCTGGAATGTGTATTTTGATAAATTGTATGCTGTAAACTCTTCTAAATAGGCTAGATTACATTTCTAAAGAAAATTTTCCTGTTGAGGAATATGACAGTCCCATAAAACATGTGAAAGGATAGTAAACTCTATGTTTTCCATTTTAAAATGTTATTCCCTATTGAAAACGCTCCCAGCCTCCGCACCCTTATACAGAACAGTTCATAAACAAGTCCCCTCTGCCCTTCCAAACAAGGGCATGTTTATACCTGTGCAGATCACCTGCCACTTCTCAAACCCTTCCTCCTCCTTTAATAAAATTTGTCTACTTACTATCTCTCCTATTCACTTGGTATAAAAAGTTTGATTACTGATACATTTTTTGTCAAATACATTAAGAGTATTTACTGACTAGAATTAGGACAGTCAACCTATCAACTGGGGCTGTGTGATCGATGGCAAAATTCAGGATTACAGCCACTACTGGAGCAAAACTGTATGAGAAAACCTGTAAGCAGGTCACAGGGAAAGCCTATTAATAAGACTGAGAGTGAAGGCTTATCTAAATGTACTGCACTAGGCACTTATAGATAACAAGCACGGGGCATTTTTTAAATTGAACTGGTGACAAGTCTATGGGAAAATGGCATCTGAAACCAAAATTTTTCATCCACCCCTCTCAAGGTATACAACAGGCACTTCCATGCCTCATTTTCTTTCCTTGGAAAATAAAAACCACCTCTTACAAAAGATGGTGAGAGAGCTGAGAAGGGTTTCTAATGCAATAAATGTTAGTTACAGCATTATTATGAAGAAAACTCATTATCATTGCTCTCGAGATGGTACAGCTCCACAGGCGTCTGCTTTAAAAACACACTAATCTCACTCATTCCAAACACGTACAGAATGCACAAACTCACACATTCTTATAAATAATATCTCTAAAGTACAGGAGGTTTTTCTAAGCAGTATATATATTATATTCTCATCTGCTTGATATTTTCTTTTAAAAAATAAAAACAAATTATATATGGAGTCAGAGAAGAGGATTATCAAATTTTGAAGCAATGTAGTCCATATTAATGAAGTTTTGTTGCATCTGCAAATTGATACGGCACTATAGAATGGTGTACATAAGAATCGTGAAAGAAACCACTTACCTTTCTCCCCTAAAACCTGAATCACATTGACAAACAGCACCATCCAAACTGTCAAAACATGTCCCACCATTTTTACAGGGTTCATCTTTGCAGTATGGACTAAGCTGGCACCTGAAAAAAAAGGAAAAAATATGTATAAACCTCATGATTCTATTGCAAATAAATATGGCAAAATGGAAAACATTAACAGAGAGAGACTTTTTACATGCACAATTACATGTTTAAAAAAAATTAATACAATAAATAACTATGAAAGTTAAAAATACACATACCTCTGACCAGTATATAATCCTCTACACTGGCAAACAAAGTCTCCATTGTCAACAACGCATGTACCACCATAGAGGCATGGATTGGAGGAACACGGATTGACGCTCACCTCACAGTATGTCCCTATGTATAAGGCACTGCATTTGCAGTAATAACCTAAATTAACAAAAGGAACAAAAAAGTCCTATCATTAAAAAAAAAGTCTTATTGTATTTTTTTTTTTTTTTACCTTTAAATGTAAGTGAAGATTTAGTTCTCCAAGATCTATAAAAGCTAGTAAAATTCCCATTACCTCTGGGTAAAAAGTGGTCTGTATCGATAAGCCTTCACTGCTGGCATAACCAAAACACAAGGAATTGAGGAGAGAACTCGCAATTAGCTTTAGTTACTCATAATTTACGTAAGACTATTGGGCCAAGCACATAGAGCAGGAAAAACAGTCCTTTATCTGAGTACCATGAACGAAGACAACAGCACTTAATATCTCAATTTATTTGCAGCTCACAAGCATTTAAGGATTAAATGAGATAATAATGAACATGAAAAGCACTTTAAAAACTAGAAGTTACCTCTCAAATTTAAGAAAGGAAATTGCCACATTTGTCCAAATGAGCACAAAGAATGTCAGACTCTATTTCGTGAAGACCACGAGAGGTAGAGAGGTAGAGAGTGTGGCAGGCTATTATCAACTATCTGCCCCTGGGGAACACAGAGGACAGTACTCTCCTTCCTCCTTTAAACTTGGTCATGGCTGTGGGTTTTTCCTGGACAAAGCAATGTGGCATTTTGGGCTAGAGCTTTAGGAGCCAGCGCAGTGTCACCAAGTTCCTTTCCTCCTGCTTTGGTGAGCACTGTAGCCCATTTCAAGAAAACGCCTCTCTCAGCCTCATTCCTAAGTGACACTACGAGGACAGCCTCCTTGCTGACATGATTTTGACATGTAGTTAATATGAGCACAATATAAACTTCTGCTGTGTTAGGCCACTGAGATTTACAGAGCATTTCTGTGGGGACAACCTTGCCTACTCCATGCACACAATATGCAAACACACTTTCCAAAGAAAACAGTAGGAAACCAAATCTTTTGAAATCCCACTTAATATAAGAATTATTTCTGCTCTATTAGTTACACCAAACTCTATTTATCAGGCATGACGGCTATCGTTTTCATAGTTGCATTCTGTTACTGGTAAGTGGCCTAACAAGAGTCCAGTAAACAGAAGCCATAGAGTACCCCACTATGCTACAGCTTTAAGAAAGATAAATATGGCAACACTTCAGGGAGGGTCAGGGCCTTCTGGAAAACCATATTCCCATCTGTTATTGCTAGCAAGATTCTAGCAGGCCCTCTGCCCTGAGCCATCAGACATAAGATGGTACAAAGAACTAAGTGGTACTAATTCTAAATTCCCCTAGGTCAATGCCTATGAAATTGGAAGAAGAGTTTAGAGTTAGCTGTGGTTTACCTGTGGTTACTGGTACAGGATAAAAAATGTATGGAAATACATCCTGCTCAGCACCTGAGATATGACTGCAGAAGCTCAGCAGTCAGAGAACTCCTCTCCAGCCTGGTTGCAGGGAAGAATTCTAAGCCCTGCTGTCTTATAATACACACTACTCAATTCCAATACTGACTGTAACAACTGACAATGTTATTTGAATAAAAAACCCCACTAAAATATTTGGGAAATTTCCCCTTAAATGTATACATGTGTAACATTTTAAAGATTGTAACATTATAAAGCCTACCTCCAGTAGGTGATGGATTGCAAATGCCTCCATTCTGGCAAGGGTTACTTGAGCAGTCTTCTGTAACTGTTAACAAGCACCCAGGAGATACATCCACCAACTCTTCGATGTGTGCATAGCTTCTTGGTTTGCTATTTAATGGGAGTTCCTGCCCATTCAGATAAATGGAGTCCATACAACCCCTGAAACCATTACCAACTTGGGGGCTTCTTCCATGCCTTGTTCCCTGCTGACGGATGTGGCCACCAAAAAACACATGGTTATCCAGGTTTAGGGTTTTCAGAGTCCCTGGGGCTGTGCCTGATGCAGTATGGACTTGGTCTAGAACCAATCTAGCATAGTTGCCGTTCACTTCAAGAGACACGGCATGCCACTGCCCGTCATTGACTTGAATGCTCTGAACAGAGACAATTCCAGGGCCACTTCCACAGTCAAATTTGTATTGCAGTCTTCCATTATGAATCTATGATAAAAACAATTACCGCTCACATTACCTTCATAGAACTTTAAATTATAGTGTCTGATCAAAAATCTATAAATAGAGAGGTATGTCTGGCAAATGAGGGTAAAAACAATTAGGCCAAAAATAATTAGGCCTTGCATTTAAGTGCCACAAAGCATGTACTCATTTGTCCATTGTGAAGATAATAAAAATTGATCTTTTAGGGATAACAAGTTCAAGTGCTACCTGCATGTCCAAAAAACTTCATGTTAGTAAACTAAACACATAAACATACACACACGCACACACAAAGAGCATCAGGTAACATCAAAAGTCAAAACTAAATCATGTTTAAAAAAAATAAAGGTAGGCAAGATAATTATCACTTCAAGCATATACAGACTCTCTCTATAACATTAATAAGATGTAATATCATCTAGAGTTTGAATGGTAACTATCACATTTGCCTAAAAATATCTATAAAAAACAAAAGTAAATCTCTATATTATTGTAGAGCAAAAAGAGCTTTTCATCCCACAAAGTCTAAAACTTGTACAGGTGATCAATGAACTGTTTAAATGTGGAATTCAACAATTTCCCTTTGTTTTTTTAAAAGAACAATTTGGGTTAGGGGTCACAAAGAATGATTACATAGGTTTGTAATGATGAATATACTAATTATCCTGATGTGATCATCGCATATTGTACAAAGGTACTAATATTTATCTCTGTACCCCACGAACATGTATAATCAAATTATGTTTCAATAAAATAAGTTAAAAAATAAATAAATAAATGCATAAATATTATGCTTCTCAGAGCTTGCTTGTTTATGGCAAAATGAGATCATGCGTGTGCAAGTCCTCTATAAACTACACAGTATTGTGCGAGTGTAAAGGATAATAATCATGTTTCCTCAGACTTTTTCCTTTATTTAAAATCAGTTTGAGGTACAATTTACATATGATAAAATTATAATAAAATTTATCAATTGAAAATTAAATGAAGAATAACCTGAACATAAAATAGAATTTGTTTTTAAAACCTTCCACGATCTGAGTTATAAAACTACATAAGTACATACCTCCAAGATACTATAGTCCGTTCCTCGAGCATACATTACAACTGCATGAGTAGAATAGGTTCTGAGCCTCATCGTCAATTTCATCTCTAATTTGTTCTCATTTTCCATTAGACGATATTTCACAAAGCTGTTTCCAGTAAATGTTATAGATGAACTTCCTATGAATCACAAATATGAAAAAAATAAATCAGAATCAAGTTTAAGCATATTTTTACTTCCCCCCAGAGACCGATGTTTTTTTTTTTTAAGATTTTAACATTAGAAAATTCAATTCCATGGGAAAATGTCTATTTGCTTAATAACCAGCATAGCATAACTCGTTCTCCAACTGAAAGAAAATAAATTAAGACTACTGCATTACAGAGAAATGAATTTCATAATAATAAAAGATCTAAATATAAAAATGTTCAGTATAAAATCATTAGAAGACAATTTCAGAAAATAGTTACATAGCCTCAAGGCGGTTTGAAAAACTTTCTCAAGCAACATATAAAACAAACCCTATTCCCCAAAGAAGAAGAAAATAATATCAATTTCCAAAGACAGAAATTGTTCTGTATAATTATACAGAATAGACTAAGTAAAAATTAAATTTCAAAATGACAAGAGATACATTCAACAAATTAAAAGATCAATAATATACAGATAAGGGAAACTGTAATGCAGAGAATATTAATACTCATAAAACACCAAAAGCTCTCCACATTAATAATGAGAAACAGGCAAATAACCTAGACAATAAAAAACAGACAATATCAACAGGTAAGTGACAGAAGAGGAAACGCTAGTAGGCAATGAACAAATGAAAAGACAACTGTTACAAGTAGCCAGAGCAATGCAAATTAAAATAATGATTAGATACCATTTCATGACCATTAGATGGGAGGAATTCTTTTCTTTAAATTGAAACCTTCAATACTGACAAGCAAAAGGGCAATGAGAACTTCGTACATAACTGGAAGAAATGGAAATTAGTACAACTTTTTTTGGAAACTAACATAATGATATGTTTAAAAATTTAAAGTATAGTTAACCTTAGACATAGCAAATCTTAGTTTTAGAATCTACTTTATATAAATGAAAGAACCCATATGTAAGGATAGACGTGTAAGAATTTTTTTAACAGAAAAAAACCATAACAACTTGACTCTCTATACGTAAGAAAAATGTTGAATAAATGATGGTACAGCCATGCTAGAAAATACTGTACAGCTATGAAACTGGCTTGAAAACATGCCCTTAATATTCTGTTAAGTGGAGGAAAAAAGGAAGAGATTAGGACTGTGTGAGATGATCACTCAAATTATTATTATTATTTTTTTAATAAAAAAGGAAGTGGATGAGAGAGAAAAAGGAAACATAAACTTCTAAATAACAGAGCTGTGTGTTTCCATAAGCATTAATATTATAGGAGGAGGAACACCCAACTATGAACTCAGGGTGTGCTGTTATAGGAGAGGAAGGAAAAAAAGTTAACTACTGGCATTTTCACTTGTTATAATAAACACACTTAACAGTATTTTTTGATTCCAATAAAGAAGAAAATGATGAGAAACACTGAAAGTGATTTTTTTTTTTAATGAAAGTATGCTTAATGATGGAACCCTCACCTGGGCACTGGCCAAACTTGCCGCCGGGACAGACACAGGTGTACTTCTCCTCTCTGGGGTCAGTGATACATTCTGATCCCTCAGGGCACGGATTGTTTTCACATCCATGGTGGACAGGCGGGCATTTTCCCTCTTTATTTGGGGAAAAAAAAAAAAAAAAGAGGGGATGGGGAGATATAAGTAATAGGAATTTGAAGAAAATCATCGTTAAGGTATAGCCATCAAAGGTTGTACATGAAATAATCTGTAACACCTATTTTCATATACTTGTGTGGGTTACCTTTGCAGAGACACACAGCTGTTCTATGGTGGCGGGGAGTCACAAAACTCAGTCTGGCTGTGCTGTGTGTGGACATGACATTTTCATCCACAGACACTTTTTCATCACAGAATTTCCGTGGGCAATCCAGTCCTGCGCAGAGCTTCTGGAATACATCCAATATCCTAACACCAATGATTTCCTCAATATCAGTCACAGAAGAATTGATCTTATGCAGAAGTTGTTTTGTTGAAACCTGAGCACTACCTGATTTCTCTACAAAAAGTAAGACGTCCAGATGTGGATGAGGCTCTGAGGGCTGCAAACTAACAATGTGGATGTCGTTCCTCCTCACACCTAGGATGTTCCGTAAAGCTCGCTGGAAGTTGCGCCAGTAGTCACCGACAAATTCCTCTGGTGTGAGATTGGCAAAGCGGATAGCAATGGTGTGGTTCAGCATCTCTTGGGTTATTTGTCTGATATGCACTGTGATGTCAGCCACTGTTGTAAATTTTCCATCTGTGACACTGACATTGAGAAGGTACTGCCCTACATCTAGCTTTTTGTGTGCTATCAGCTTACCCCCTGTGCTGGAAACAGAGAACAGGTTGTCCATTTGGGGATCAAGACTGTAGGTTAAAGTGTCATACACGTCTTGGTCTGTTGCATGAATCTTCCCAATAACACCACCTGAGTATTCCTCTCCAAAAGCAGTGATGAAAATTTCTAGTGGCAAAATTGCAGGAGGATAGATGCTCTCTTCAATAACCCTAATGTCAATGTATGTCAAAGATGACAGCTGAGGCTTTCCATTATCTGCCACCTACAAAAAAGAAAAAAAAAATCATTTTTGTCTGTCATTGCTTACACCTTTTTAATAAAAATACATATACACTGTTCAAGTTCTAAAAAGCTACCAACTGTTAGATACCTATTTCTCCACATGAGAAGCATATCAAGGAAAAGGACAAAAAACTTCTTTCTAGCCCTTTCACTAATTCATGTTGAAAGTCAGCTCCACTGATGTCTAAATAAAGTAACCAAATGAATAAATGAGCCCCTCAAAGTACAGTGGAATAAAAATGAAAGGAATGGTGAAAAACAAAGACTGCAATTGCATAAATTTTTGTTTTCTGATGAAATGTAAGATGTTCAAATAAAAGAAGGCAACCACTGAGCAGCTCTTCTCTATGAATCCACACATAAAGCATAAAGAAAGATTTTAATACCTTAACATGCAGTAAGTAATGATCCTTCACTTTCCTCTTTATGGCAGCTGAAGTCAGGAGGACTCCCTGCTGGTTAACATCAAATGCTTTGTCCTCGTTCCCGCTCACGACAGTAAAGAAGAAGGGTGGACCATTATGAGAAGAATCCTTATCTGTTACTACTAGCTGTAGGACACTGAAACCCACCGGCTTATTTTCCTGCACAAAATTAAAAACAAAACGAAAATCTTTCAACACCACTAAAATCTATATGGTAAGAGACATATGTGACTTTTCTATAATATAAAATATATAGAAAACAAAGCCTACTGCTGCTCCACTTGAAAGGAAGAGACAGAAGAGAGGTGAGGAGAGGGGAGAAAAAGGGAGAGGGGTGGAGAACGTTTATGAGAAGGAAGGATGAGTTGGGAGGAGGAGGAGTGGGAGGGAAGAGGAAGGTCAAGAGAGGGAGGAAGGAAGAACAGTAGGAGAAGACATGATTAAGAAAGAAGCTCTTTCTAATCCTAGAGTCGTGAGAGCATCTTAAAAACCAGAGCATGGGGCCGACCCTGTGGCTCACTCGGGAGAGTGCGGTGCTGGAAGGGCCGAGGCTGCGGGTTCGGATCCCATATAGGAATGGCCGGTGCGCTCACTGGCTGAGCGCGGTGCGGGCAACACCATGCCAAGGTTTATGATTCCCTTACCAGTCACACACACAAAAAGCCAGAGCATGAAAAGAAGGGAGATAAAAGCTTGGCTGCATCTTGAAAATGCTCGTCTTTTAGTATTGATAGAGACACCTCTAATTTTCCTTTTCCCATTTTTCTAAAAAGTAGTCTGGAAAAGAAAGATATTTCAAACTGAGACTAATGAAAGAGCTCTCATTTCAAAAGGATTCTATGAACCCTCTGGCACTCCAAGCTTACCTGGATAATTACACTGTAGTTTCCCTTGGAGAAGACTGGAGCATTGTCATTGACATCAGACACATCAATGTTCACGGTCGTTGTGTTGACTCTGGGTGGACTGCCATTATCAGAAGCTTGTACTGTGAGTGTGTAACCTGAAATCTTTTCGGGGAGACAAGACAGAGAGAATGCATGTTCATTTTCAAAAGGCCGATGAACAGGTTTTAAATCAGAAGTGTCCTCCTGACAAGCTAGAAGAGCAGATCTCAATGGACTGTCATCGTTTGTCATCGTACCCTATACGTGGGTAATTCCCTAACCTACTAACAAGTGCACCATTAATACCATTTATTTTCTCTACAAAAAGTTATCAGTAGTGATTAGATTCTCTGATGACTCTCAAAAATGTACTCATTTTATTAAAATGTTTTATCTTTAAAAACTTGCAGTTGTTAACAGAAATTAAGACAGAAAAATAATACTAATGATTAGAAGAAAATGTTAACATATCTCAAATGCTGTTGCTGCAGTAATAATAGGAAGGCAGCCCTCCCTAGGGCCCAAACCTTGCTCTCAGCCAGAAGTAGACAGACATTAGCAGACTCTCACCCTTGAGTGCTGCTGACTCATTCCCAACACCTCAGGACACTCCAGATCATCCTCCCCCTCAATTTCACACTTGAACTGTACTTAGCTGTCTAAATCCCTCAAGATTATCTCTTTGTGACCTCCTATAAAACAAATTAAATCAAGTGAGATAACTTCTTTCTCAGGGAGGTTCCCTGTTATTGTAGCTCTCTCTTCTAGAATGAGTGGTGGAAGAAGCCAGAAAGCTGGCTAGATCCCAGAGTATGTGCTGCAGAATACGAGCCCTGTAAGGTGTTCCAAACAAAAACGGGTTTTGAGGGCAAATCAGCGTGGGAAACACCACAGGCTATCTCCTCCACTATCTCACAATGGACATAAGGATATTAAAGAATCTGGGTTCTTTAGTCAAAAATACAAAATTGTATTCTGCCTAGCAGTACAGCAATCCTAGGCATGCTTCCTGAACTCTTGAAAAGTCCCTACTCAAAAGTAATAGGTCAAGAAATTAAAGAATTGAGTCTTTGATGAGATGTCTCAGCACGAACTCCCCAGATTCCTCTAATCTTTGATAGACCAATTATTCTTCTGTATTTGCATCCTTTATGATGATCACCAACTGTCTAAGTCCCCAAACCAAGGCCTCCTGCACTTCTTCATGTCACCACCTCTCTGACGGGCTCCCGCTCCACCTCCCTTCCTGTCTGTGAGTCTGGGTGGGATGGTGAATCAGTGCACGTCCCGCACGGCTTGCCTCTTCCCACTTGTTCCATCTCTCTCAATCCCTCGGATCACTTCTATGATTATCTTGCAAGGGCATGCACTGTATCTACATGTCCAGCTTTCAAGTCTCTCTAAGTCTGATTAAAATCTCTAAATACTAAATGAATAACTCTACATGAATATGCTATTTTCCTCTAAAAATGAGCATATCCAAATTACATTAATTAACCTCTCGTAGCCCCTTCAAATTTATATTTTGTGACTTCCCTACTTCTTTTTAACAGTACTACCCAGTGACAGCAAGACGGAAAAAAATCAAGTCACCTCTGACACCACCGCTTTCTACGCAGGGCCGTATCTAAGCTTTGTGGATTCTAATTTGTCCTCATTTCTAAGTTTCTTCATTTGTCATTTCTCTAGATCCCACGGCTGATTTCCTGATTCAGGTTTCTGGTGCCTCACGACTGATTAACTCTCAAAGGCCTTCCTGCTCTCCCTGACCTCTCATGACTCTAGCACTCATCTTCTAACATCTCCTTGTAATATTCCTCAGCTCACAAATATTCAGGAAGTCTCTAATACCTACAGCATCGAGTCTGAACCTTTGATCCTGGTTTTCCATGGGACCCATAATCTGTCCCTGAAATACCTTTCTACTTTATCCCCCTCTACTTCTTTGTATGATTACTCCACTCCAATACAACTGGGTAAAGCCCCCTAAATCTATTCCATGGCTTCTATTTCCACGTCTTTATTCACAGAATTCCCTACACGGAATTTGCTTCTCTCAACTTCTATGGTTTTCCAAATCTCTCCTATTACTTGAAACCCAGCTTCTAGCTCCACAAAGTGTCTCAGAACACTGGGGCCAACAGTTAATTTCTTCCTGAATACAATCTTTTATTATCCAAACTTCCTATCAGTATGAAACATATTTCTTCTGTTCTTCGGATTTTCACATTGTAATTGCTTTTCAAGTATTTAGATCTTGCTTGTCAGTTCCTCACAAGAAAACTGGTCCCACCCTTCCAGTACTTCACATCATGCCAGCAGGTAAGAACACAAGGCACTTGAATTTATTGCTTTGGTAATTTGCAAATGATTTAAACCAAACTTTTCCACTTACTGTTTCCCGGTCTAGAAGTTTGGTCACTTTCACTTCTCCCTTGACAGGGTCAATTGCAAATGGACTTCCTTGATTGCCATCTGTAATTGAATAGTGGATGTGGCTGTTGGAAGGGCCATCAGCATCATCAGCCATAACCTAGAAAATACCACACTCCTGTTTAGGAGACAGCTAAGGAAGGGAGAGAAGTCTACTAAACAAATTTCTGATACTAAGAGCCAACTGTTTTAAGACAGTTACTTATAATAAAGTCAGTAATTGGTTGGCCTAACAAAAGACATTTTCATAAGGAAATAGTAGGGGGGAAAAATACACACCGTAATGACAGACTGCTCAAGAACTGCATCTTCACTGATCACTGTTGTGTAGGTATCTTGGCTGAACACTGGGGTATTGTCATTGATATCTGTTACATTAACGTTCACAGTAGCCACATCACTTAATGAAGGTGTGCCTCCATCAGTGGCTTCTACAGTCAGGTAATACTCATGAGAGCTTTCATAATCCAGATTCTCAATGATGAATATGGCCCCTGTATAGAAAAATCAAAATACTTCCAGAACTCTACAATGCCAACACTTTTTCCTATTAGGACTGAAATAGAGAACACTTTTCAACAAATTTAGTTTTCATTTCAAAAGTTTAGTTACCATTTATGTATGCTTTCTAATTTCTTAATTCAACAATTAAAAATTATGAATTTGCCCATCCCTGGGATCCTTATTTTTTTTCTAAATTATTTTCCTGATATTCTTCATGATCTTTAAATTGCTTTTCTAGTCAACACTATTTACATACCCGCTATGATTATATCATCATACCTCTTCTAAACCATACTTCACTATAGACTTCACCAAAGTACTTGTTACAAATAACTAGCATAATAAAGAAGTCATTCATAAATTATCAGATGCTCACTATAGAAACTAAGATCAAAGAGGTTGAAAGGGCTGCTTTACTTGAAAAGCTACTTCACATGAGTTTGACATGGGAGATAAAAGGAGCAGTATTGCAAGGTCCTCCGCTATCATCCCTTCTTATCCGCACTAACTTGCTACACCTTACGTCATGACTAAACTACTACAATGTGATGCTTTTATTTACCATTTCAAGTTATTTTGCTTGTAGTTTATAATGGATAACCAGAAATGTATTTTATTAAGCAGAACTATAGTCAGAAGTCTTACTAAACTACTTTCAATCCCACTTTAAACAACAACAAAAAGAAAACTTGAGTTTTATCTTTTTAGACCACTGACTGACAATACGTGATCTGTCACTTTGTATGAGGTACACTGCCAGGCAAATCTGGCCTTTTTGGTGAAATAAAGGGCTTCCTCTCATGTACATGATAGGTTACCTGTTTTAGAATCTATGCTGAATTTTCCATGTTCGTTCCCACTTATTATGGAGTAGGTGATTTCTGCATTTGTTTCAATATCCCGACTTGCCGCATACACTTGAAGAACTTCTGTTCCAATAAGAATGTCCTCAGCCACTGTGGCACCATATTCACGGTATTCAAATACAGGCGGGTTGTCATTTATATCCAAAACCGATATAACAAGAGTACCAGTAGCTGTCAGCCTCCTCGGCAAACCGTGATCCACAGCTCTCAAAGTAAGGGTATACACTGCCTGTAGTTCTCTGTCCAAAGGCTTTTCTAATTGAATAATTCCAGATAACTCATTAATGGAGAACTGCCCATCAGCAGAGTTAATCAGTGAGTAGGAAATCTTTCGATTCAATCCTGTCAAGACATGAAATCATGTCAGAAGGTTTTATATCAAGAAATTTAAACTTATTTTTTTTAGATGTAGCATATTTTTAAAAAGGGAAAATGCTAACATACATTATTTAAAAATTCTTGACTGTGATCTTGAAAAAATAAACTTTTTAGATTAACAATTTATAGAATTCAAACAAATAGAAATATAATTTCATAGGTATCTGGCTTTTTAGAATATTATATATAGGAACCTATGCTGTAGTACTAGCAGAATTTTTAATATAAAATCTAGTATTTAACTTCAGGAACAAAGAATTATTTAAAAAGTAAGATTTGTGCTATTCTTCTAATTTTTCAGTATTAGTATGACTGAGGAAGTTATTTTATTCTCTATGAAAAAGCTATGAATACATATCCTACATCTTATTTTTTCCCCATAAAAATTTTGAAAGAAGTATAAAACGAGAATATAGCAGTTACTTTTGTTACATTCCTATATTAGAACTTCTTTATGTCGCTAATCATTTACTCACAAAATAACACTTCACTAATTAATTCAATGGAATACAAAGATCAGTTAATATAGTCACTAACCAGAATTTTAGTGACACCACAGATACCTTACAGCAATAAGTTCCCAGGGCACAACTTTGAGACTTCAAATATTCATTACAAATGAATGAATTATTCTAAAGACTTCATTCTGCAACAACAAGGTATTCAACATGTGTGAAGTAAGGGGAGCTAAACAGGCTGAATTTGGCATGTGTTTTATAACAGAGGCTCCTAGGATCTCAGTGCAAAAGCATCTTCTAGAGGATACCTGCATCTGCATCTGTGGCCTGCACTCTGGTTAGCAGTGTCCCAGGCTCTGTGTTCTCAAACACAGTAATGGTGTAAGGATCAGCAGAGAATTCAGGGGCATTATCATTTACATCTTCTAATGTGAGCACAATATTAGCTTGACAGAATCTTCCACCTCCATCTGTGGCCTTGACCAGAAGATTATAAACTGCTTGCTCCTCGCGATCAAGGGGGGCTAATGTTTTCAGTTCACCTAAAAACAAAAATAAATGAACTCACTTGAAATTTAAAATTAAATGAACTCACTTGAAGATGGAGCTGCAATCACGCATCTTATTTCTTCCCCTTTTTTCTTACAATTATAAAATCTGAGTAATAGCCTTCCTTTGGAGAACAATTTTATCAATGACAGACTCAACAACTATGTGAGCACAGGTTTCCAAACTTGCCAGCTGCTAGCTCTTTAAGCAATAAAGATCTGAGGCTAGAACCTCTTACATAGTATACATTGTTGCAAAAGTAAAATAGCAACCTAACTTTCCAAATTAAAAAAAATTTTTGCCTCTAAAATTAGACTCATATATTAATAATTAGTTCTTCAGGAGGAAAATAAGAAAGCTTTCTTGATCCAAATTTTAACAAAATACAAATTATAAGAAGAAAACTATTTACAGATGAATAAAATATCATGAATCATTTTAATTATGAAAATCTTAATTTATGGTCACAAATTTAAGGAAACATGCTATATACATAAAATGGATAACACAAAGCTAAAGATAAACGTTAACTTCTGAGTTATTTTTCTTAATTTATGGTCACAAATTTAAGGAAACATGCTAGCTATATACATAAAATGGATAACACAAAGCTAAAGATAAACGTTAACTTCTGAGTTATTTTTTAAAAAGAATTTGTGTAAACAACTTCTAAATTTCAAATCCTTGGATCAAGTAGGTGAAAATGTTGCTGTTATTTTGTCTCACCCCAAATTTCACACACTAAATTGTTATTTAAATTTCTGAAAGATCTCAATTTCATAGCATCAGAGTAAATATGAAAAGCACGAAATGTAATTTCAAATTCTGTGTGATCTAAAATCATCCATATATGATTTTGTTGGAATACACAATTATTTTTGTTCCAAACTCCATCATTACCTGTGTCTGGATTTAGTCTGAATTTTTCTGCACTTGAGCCAAATAATGAGTAAGTAATTTCAGCGTTGGAACGAATATCTGCATCTGTAGCAGAGACCTGCATGATCAATTTCCCAGGAAGGGTGTCTTCAGGAATGGAGTCTGAATATAAGGTCTACAAAGATTTTAAACAATATTGTTAGTATAAAAACATTTAAAGTCATCAGCATGACTGCCAAGGGAATAAAAGAAAAGAAACCATTTAACGTTGGCCACAGAAAACATGGGAAATGACTAAAGTTAAAATCCAAAGAGCTTTTAAAACTATTTCTCTTATAAAACACATGTAAAATAAGGAGAAGCCACGTAACAGTTAGCAACTCTATATCCTTGAAAAGGTCTGACCAGATTATGAGAAAATGTAAGATGGCTCCATATTTACCTAAAAATTGGAGACAGTAAATACCTGTTACATCATATCTACTTATTTCCAAATACAGCAATTTATTGTTTGCAAGTGTTTCTAGCACATTATCAAATAATTGCGGTTGGGAGAGAAGCGATCTTTGTGTGATGGGAGAAAACAAAGATTCTCCAGGGTCACAGAGGGGGACAGATAAAGCTCAGGCCCTTCTATTACTCTTGCTTGATCCCCTCTCTCTTCACATGTGCCGCAACTCTCAAGCCTGATAAAGAGTTGCTTCTAGCTTCAATTATTTAGGAACCCATGCCATAAGCAAATGTACGAGAAACAGATTAAGATTTTTGTTGAATTTATTTTCTTAATATGAGATCAATTATGGGTGAACGACATTGTATGACTCATGAAACAGGATATTTTGCAATACTGATGAAGTCAAATGATCTGGTGTCCTAGTTTTGTTATTCCCAAAGATGATATATGCATTACATCCAAATAATATGAAAGTACTAAAAAACAACAAAAGATGCACATTTAGTTTCTGTAAGAGGATATATCCTCCTCATATATATATATCTCACATACAATCACCAAAAAGTACAAATATGGATTGGAATTAACTCTTCATCCCTCAGAAGTTCCACTTTCCCTTGTGACTGATTTTTAAGAATCCATTTCCCTGAGAACAGCTCTGCCACTTTCTACTGCTCTAACACGTCTCATACTTCCTGCACCTGCAGCGTCCTCCAATTCCTTTGGCTCTCTTCAAAATCACTTTCCCTTCTATCCAGATTTCTCTTAATCTATCACACTCTTCTTCCTTCCTTTCTCTCAATCTTCGTCCTTTCATTAACACACACTCTTTAATCTGCAGTCAGGCATCCAACCACATTAGGATACCCAGACTGCCATCTCCAAGTCTGTCACAGAATCTAAATGCTTTGTTTCACATCCCAACCATCTTTTTTTTTTTTTTAGCTCTGGGACACTTCTGCTCCCCACCCCACCTTCTAAAAGTTCTCTCCCCTTTCACCCTTGATGTCACTTGCACCAGTATCATCCTCTTCCTTCCATTTCTGCCTCCTCCTCTCTTTAAAAATACTCGTCTCTTTTCCCCCTTTTATTAGTGTCCTCTCAAGTGAATTCAACTATCAGCTATCCGTAGAAACTGTCAAGTTTACATATTCTCTCCTAATATCCATCTTCAAGCTCACCATCTCTAAATATCTAAAAACGACATTCAACTGAATGTGCCATTGCCTTAAATTCAACAAATCTGAAATGGAACTCAATGTGCTTCCTCTAAAACCAATTCCTGCTCCAGGCATATCTTTGTCATTGCCTTGGTCTTTCTTCCAAACATTTGTGTAGTAAACACTAAAGTCAATCCTGACCCAACACACGTCATGTTGTCACACCCAGACAGGGACCAAAGGCTACCAGTTGTCCCCATGCAGTGTCTTTTGTCCTTTCATTCCTCTGCCTCCTCTGCCTATTGGACCATCCCTTGTTTTCACTCCTTATCTAAATAGAGGACACAATACTACCTAACTGACCTTCTTTAAGGAACTCTTGGCTCGTGTCATTACCTTTCAAATATACAAGGATTCAGAGTCCCTATTTTCTCTAGGATAGAGTTCTAATTCCCCGGAATGATCTCCACAGTCCTCCATAATCCAGTTTACTCTTTCTCCACCCAAACTTTTTCTCCATAACTTCTAACACCAATTCCCCACTTCTGGCAAACTGTTACTATGCCCACAACTGCTTTCACCCACACCTCCCGCTCCACTGCCTTTCTGCTTCCACTCCTGGTTATCTAATCACTCCTCCCAAAGGCTGGGCCCAAGCCCTGTCTCTGAACGGCTTTTCCTCATCCTCCAGCTCAAGCGGCCACTTCCGCTCGAGTCCCATTGCCCTCATCTTAACCTTGGAGGGTAACAGCTCTTTTTGGATTTATGTTTTATACTTTCATTAAACGGTGAGCTGCACAGGTGCAGAAGCCATATCACTAACCTCTCAGGTTCTCTAGTGTGTAGAAGAGCAAGTGCCCCAAAACAGTTTGTTAAAGCAAAACATTTTTTTGTACAATTGATGGCCAGATATTTCTCCCAAAATAACCTTATCCCCAAATTAAGAGAATCTCTAGATGAAAAGTTTCCAGAGCATTTTAAAGTTAGATACAACTGTATTCCTGTCCACAATGTAGTTTTTTAGAACAAGATGTTTGACCTATTTAGCATTCCCCAAAATAGTTCTAAAGCTTTTCCAAGTCTTGCCCCAGTTAACACTCACCTCCGCTTCAACAGTAAATGGTTATAATACAAAACACACTTGAATTACACCACAACACTGAATGACAGTCCTATTGAAAGGATTAAAAAAGAAATTTAAATTCATAGTACACAAACCTAAGGGAAGAGTAGCCTACCTTTTCACATACTGGACTGTTGTCATTTGCATCAAGAACTTTCACTTCAACTATAGCTTTGGATGAGAAGGTCCCATCAGTTGCTGTGATCATCAGAAGATAACTGTCCCTTTTTTCCCTATCTAGAGGTTTCTTCACATAGACCTTCCATTCATTCTGTATATTTTCAATAGCAAACTGTCCCAAAGCATCTCCTCCTATAAATCAATGGAAAAAGATGACAAATTTGTTGGCATAAGGAGAAAAATAAATAACAGTAAAAATAAACTATACAAAAGATATATCATTTTATGGTTTAAAAGAATTAAGCATTTAGAAAAAAATTTGATATTATTAAAATTCCTATTTACAAAAAAAATCAAAGCAGCATTTAAATGGATATTTAAACACAGAATTAAGCCAAATAAAATGTAATGACCACTAAAAACAATTTAGCCTACACTGAAGCTAGTTATTTTTTATTATAATATACTTATTATGCACTATACATAAAGTTCAATAGAACGAGATAAAAATGAAAAAGTCTAATGAAACAACTATTAGTTTTGCTCAGGTAGAGAATCTGAAATGTAGTTTAACAGATGTTATTTCTATTTATTATAAATATTCTTAACTAAAATCATCCCTTCAACTCCCAATCTCCATAAAATACTTATCTAAGAATTTATTCTTCTAATACAACTTAATTTTAAAATAAATCATTTGGTTTACATTTTTTTACCTGTTATGAAATATGTAACTTGTCTGTTAATCTCTTCAGAATCAGCATCCGTGGTACTTAAGATGGCAATTACACCACCTGGCGGATCATCTTCACTCACAGTCCCTTTATAAATCTCTGCCGTGAATCGTGGTGGACTATCGTTGACATCAGTGACAGTAACATCTACGATGGCTGTGGAGGAGAGCTGAACATTTTCACCATGATCTGATGCAACCACTTTAATCTGGTAATTGTCTCTCTCTTCATGGTCAAGTTCCTTTAGGGTTGTAATCCAGCCTGTTTCCATGTTGATGGCAAAAGATTCAATGACTTCTATACTTTGTGACTGATCTAGACTATACATAACTTGGCCATTGGGTCCTGAGTCTAGATCAGATGCCCTGATCTGGATGACTCTACTTCCCCCTGGTAGGTTTTCAACAATAAATGCCTCATATGGATTAGACTCCAAGACCGGGCTGTTATCATTTGCATCTTTCACTTGGATACTAACATCTACAGAAGCCACCACCTCATAGTCACCTAAAGTGCACCTGGCAAGTATGGAAAACTGATACCACTTAGTTGTCTCATGATCAAGACTCTTCTCTAGTTTCAGTCTCCCACTCTGTCTGTCAATCACAAAGAACTCATCCCTATTACTTTCAGGAGTATTCCCTTTGACTAGGCTGTAGAGAACAATCCCGCTATGTTCTGCTCGGATGAGATCTATTTCTGTTCCAATAGGCATGTCTTCTGAAACTGTATAGGTATAAAATGGTTCTGAAAATTTGGGAAGCTGCATTTCTGGTGGAAGTATTTTAACATAAACAGGAACAAGGGACTCTTTTGGTGGAGACCCATTATCCACAGCTCTCACAAAGAAAGTAAAGAATTCATTTTCTAAGCCGATTAAGCTTTCTTTTGTAGTAATTACACCAGACAGTTTGTTAATTTCCAAATTCTCTTTAACGCTTTCAGAATCTGCTTCAATTGCATAGGTGACGTCTGCATTGGATCCTTCATCAGCATCACTTGCAAGAACCTTGAGGACTGATGTCCCTTTGGCAGCATTTGATCCGATGTTCACTTCATACTTGGTTGCTCGGAACTGTGGTGCGTTATCATTGTCGTCTGTAAGGATGACATTAATGGTGCAGAAAGCAACTTTTCCTCCAGCATCCTTAGCCATTAAACGAACTGAGATTACTTTCTCTGCTGGGGTTTCTCGATCAAGTTTTTCCAAAGTAAATATCTGTCCTCTCTCATTTGTGTAAAATCTGTCTTTGGCAAAGTCATTTACAATATGGTAAGTAATGTGACCATAAATACCAGAATCCCCATCAGTTGCTTTAACCTCAATCACCAGGGTATGTAAGGGGGCGTTTTCACCTAGTTCCACTTCATACTCGTTTTGAAGAAAAACAGGACTGTGCAAATTGCCTCCAATTACAGTTACATGAACCTGAGCTGAACTTCTAAAAACTCCATCAGAAACAGAAATGTTAAGACTGTAAAATGGCTTCAAGGTGTGCCGGCGCAGTCTGGAGAGAGTGATAATCCCTGTTTTACTATCAATGACAAAATTTTTATGATCATTGCCAGACAAAATGGAATATTCCAGCTTATCTATGTCTGAACTGTCTGCATCATAGGCTTTTACACATGTCACAAAATGCCCATGAGTGGCATGCTCACTAATTTTGGCTTCATAAATTTGTTGGTCAAAGAGTGGCGGATTATCATTGAGGTCAGTGACATCCACGGTGACAATCACATCACTGCTTAGTGGTGGCATGCCACTATCAACAGCCCTTACAAAAATCTTGTGCTGCTGAAACTGTTCATAATCCAAAGTTCTGACTAGTGAAATGAGACCGGTGCTGCTGTCTATGTGAAAATGATCATGACTCTTGCTATGATTCCCAAACATCTGGTATGAAATTCCTCTATTTGGTTCGGAATCGGAATCTGTTGCTCTAACTTGAATGACAGCTGTCCCAATTACAGATGCCTCAGACAGGGTTGCAGCATAAGACTGCTGAACAAACACGGGAGGGTTATCATTGATGTCTTCCACTATTATGTCAACAAACACTTCAGCGTGAGTACCAGTCAGGGAGTCAGTTGCTCGTATGCTCAGTTTATATGCTGGGTGGGACTCAAAATCCAGAGGAGCGATGACGTTTATAACTCCAGTGTTAAAGTTAATAGTAAACTGGCTAAAAGGATCTCCGTCTGTGATACTGTAGAACACTTTCAACCCTTCTGGACTGTTGGCCTGTATGTGGACAACTGGGCTGTGCATCTGGATATTCTCTGGAATCTCTGCACTATAGAAAGGTTTTTCAAACACAGGCATGGCTTTATTCATAACAGTGATTGGAACTATAACTTCAGCTGAAAAAGCTGGGTCTCCGCCATCTTTTGCAACCACTGTGACAAGATATTCTTTATTTAAGGTGTCAAGTTCAAACTGCTTTTTCAGTGAAATTTCACCTAAGGATCCAATTTGAAAGTGTTCGTGATGTTCCTTAAGGTAGTAATACACATCCCCATTTCTGCCACTATCTCTGTCTACAGCGGTAACATAGCGAATGACATGGCCTAGCTCAGTATCCACTTTCACAACAGCATAGTAGGGAAGGTTGACAAACACTGGTGCATTATCATTTTGGTCTTCTATGAGGACCTTCACAACAACGTGGGCCACTGCTGCAGGCTTATGTTCTTCTGTCACTTCCACGACCACATCAAATGCCTCCTGCTGTTCACGATCAAATGGTATACCGGTGGTTGACAGTACCCCTGAAGTGCGGCTTATTTTAAATCTGCGATCTGGGTTGAGGATATGATAAAACAAAGGCTCATTGATTGGATTCCCGATAGCAGTAATGACAGCTAATGTTTTGGGTTCAGTGGAATTCTCTTTCACTACTGCAGAGTAGAAATCTTGGGTGAACTTTAGTTGACTTTCTTTGCTTTCTTTCACGTTAATTTTCACAGAGGTAAAGCTGGCAAATCTGCCATCAGAAGCTCTGATGGCTAACTCATAGCGGCTTCTTAACTGAGTTGTGTTTTGTACAGTTATAGTACCAGTCTTGTAGTTCATAAAAAACTTTTCCCCAATGTTGCCTTCGGTGATAGAGTACATTAACTGTGAGAATGTGCTTGAATCAGCATCTGTAGCATTTACTGTGATGACTTTTACTCCTTTGTATGTTGGTAATAAAAGAGATGCTTCGTATAATGATTTGGAGAACACAGGAGGGCAGTCATTAATGTCAATTACATGTATAGTAACATTAGCTGCATATTCTGCAAATAAACGTGGTGTTCCCATGTCATGCACTTGTACAGTAAAGTGAAAAATACTTGTTTCTTCATAGTCCAAACTCAGTACTGTATGAATAGCACCAGTGCTAGAATCAATAGCAAAATATTTGTGTATAGATGGTTCAACAATGTGATAAACAAGCAAAGCATTTGATTCTTTATCAGCATCAGTTGCTCGAATCACTAGTGGGACATTCCTGTCGGTCAGGACCACACTGTTAATTGAAGCCGATTCGCTAATAAGTCCTGTGTATTCTGCCTGCACAAAAACTGGTAAGTTGTCATTCTCATCCTGTAGATGCACTAGAACAGTTGTATTAGTGGACAAACCAGCCATGTTAGTTCCTTGTATTATCAATGTATAAATGGACAAAGTTTCAAAATCCAGGGCTTTCTGAGTGATGATACTTCCAGAATGTGGATTAATATCAAAAGCATCACCTATATTTCCATCTCTTATTTCATATATCACTGATGACTGACTGTGGGCTGTAACCATTCCAACAAAACTCCCAATGCTGATAATTTCACTAATTTCAACAGAATATTCTTTTGATGTAAACTTAGGAGAGGCATTGTCAGCAATTGTGACGAAGATATGCACAGAAGTTATTTCACTCATTGGTGGATTGCCTTTATCTGTAGCTTTTACCATTAAATCATATTCCACTTGGTTACTTCGATCTAATTCTTTGGCAGTTTTTATAGAGCCCAAGACAGGATCAATTGTAAAAGAATATCCAATATTTCCTGGAAGGGGAGAAAAAAATACATGTTAGAAAAAAATACGAAGAGCAAAAAAAACAGTAGTTGGAAAAGCAGAAACAAAGATATCTTTAAAAATTATACCCTGAAGTTAAGCAGAAATTTGGGGTATATCAGTATTTGAATGGAACCTTCAACTTGTTTCATTTTTATACACTTAAAGCAAGGCATACTTTTCAGAAATCATCCATAAATTATGAAAAGCAAGAAACAGAAGAAACACCACTCTGCACCTAAACCCAAAACTCACTCTACTGGCTGAACTGGGAATGTGTTGTTGAAGACATGGTTATCCTTTCATTAAAAAATTGAGTTAATAATTTTCTAAGAGTCCCTCAAAACTCTTCTGGAATATGTGTATATTTTCAGCATTTACCACTTGCAAATTCTCGAGATTCTTCTGTGTTATGAAAAGCAAGACTTCAATTCACTAAGAAAATGCATATCAAGCTTCAAGAGAGCTGTCCCTTAATTTTAATATTCAGGGACCTGATGAATAAGTTTGTGCAACTCACCACACTTTATAGGTTTTGAAGATTTTAACAATATTCCCTTTTAATTGTTTTTCAGGTCAATTTATATTCTAGGTCAATAGTTCTCAACTAGGGGCAATTTTGACCCAAAGGAGATATTTGGTGATGTCTGGAGATACTTCTAGTTGTCACAACTTGGGGGTTAAGGGTGCTACTGACATCTACTGGGTAGAGAACAGGGATGCTGCTAAACATCCTACAATGCACAGGACAGCCCCCTACAACCAAAAATTATCTGGCCTAAAATGTCAATATTGTTGAAGCTGATTGATTGCTCTAGGATAGATTGTTTCTCTTGCTTTTCTTTGGACCTTTTTAGAATGGATCTCTCTCTGTACACACACACCCACAGAGCTACAACCACAACTCCACAATATCCCATAGTTTTATATCACTTATTGAAATCTTTTTCAAGAATCCAGCAGCTCTCTATAGCCTTTGCGGATAGAATAAGGCAGTGTGAGGGTCCCCAGGTCCGATCCACACATGAACCCTCCACCCCTTTTCTGTGTCATAAACAGGAATCCACAGTTTATTATCCTAGTTATAGAACTAAATTTATTTTCCCCAAATGAACTATTATACCTCACCCAAAACAAAGCTGACTTGCTACTTAACCACTTTCTCAAATTCTTCTTCCTCTAGGTTTTCAATCAGTGCCAGCATTTCATAGACCAGAACTACTTAGTGTGATCTACAAACCAGGGGATTATGCAAGCATGTCTTTCTCCACATCATTAACAGTAAACGCTTCCTCCATGGTCTTCATTTCTTTCCTTTAATACATTTTCCAAAAATCCATGACAATCTTTTCTGAGGCCAGACCAGTTTGGTTTTCATTAAGTTGGCCTGGCTCTGCATCCAGGCCCTGAGGCGGTGCCTCAGTCTGCAGCAGGGAGGAGGCCCAGGCTTTCTCTAGGCCCTGAAGCACTGAGCTGAACCCTGGCCCATGAATGGGGTCCTGTTGCCTCTGCCAGGCTGCTCAGACACTAATTTCCGGCCTGTCTATGTTTATAAGAGTCAACGATCCCAGATTCCCTCTCATTGTGTTTTAGGCAATCACCAGAATGCCAAGATCCTCTCTCACCCTACCTGTGCATCACCACCACCTTCCAAAATTATGACTGACTGCATGGCCTGACATAGGAGAGTGCGGCAACCTCTGGCAACCGTCTTTATTCCCATCCGTCAGACTTTCCTATGTGCGTACTAATAAAGCAGCTGGCCTACTTACCATATTTTATATTCATTCACCTATACGCATTTCTCTCTTATATCGCATCATGAAATCCATTTTGCCATTAAAGCTTCAAATATGCAAGACCTCAGAAGGAGGAATGAATACATTTTATCTGCACTGAAGCAGGCTGGCAGTGTTAGGACACACTACTTTCTGCACAACTTGTTTCCTGCCCTACAGCCACACTGGTCTCCTCCTTGCTCCTTGATCAGAAGAGCACATCATCTCAGAGCCCTCTCCAGAACAGCCTTCCCCAGCTATTCTCATTGATTCTCCACTCATCCATCCATTCATTCAGGTTTTACCCGAACGCCCCTGCTTTGAAAGAGTGATCATGAGGCCATCCTTGACCTAGCCCTCTCCAGAACAGCCTTCCCCAGCTATTCTCATTGATTCTCCACTCATCCATCCATCCATTCAGGTTTTACCCGAACGCCCCTGCTTTGAAAGAGTGATCATGAGGCCATCCTTGACCTCGCTATTGAGGATGACTATTTCTGACCCTTTACCCTGGTTATTCTTTATAGCATGTATTACAACCTTGCTCTTTAACAGCCATGTAAAATTCAGAAACATTCTTTATTATCTGGAGTACCCTGACTTTAATAAAGACAGCTTTGAGCTTGTCACTGATAATAAGGTTAAAGAGAAACCCAGCTAGTGATTTAATATATGGATCCCACATACCTACATATATTAAGGCAGAAATCATCAGATTTGCAGATGGGAAAGCAACATTATATTTTAAGTGAGGGCTGTTTATGTGAACACTGAGGGCTGCTGACTGGCACGTGTTCCTGCCTGATCTATTAAGCACATTCACCAAACACTGAAATACACATAGAGCATTTGCAAACGAATTAACAACGCAGTGGTAGAAGTTTGTACCAGGTTGGGGGCTTATTCATTCACTTTGGCTGAAATATTAGTGATTTCTAAATAACCTTAAATTGTTCTCTGTATTTGAATAGGACATTTCTTCTTCTTTTTTTTTTTTTGTCTTTTTCATGACCGGCCGCACCGCGCTCAGCCAGTGAGCGCACCGGCCAGTCCTATATAGGATCCGAACCCGTGGCAGAAGCGCCGCTGTGCTCCCAGCACTGCACTCTCCCGAGTGCACCACGGGGCCGGCCCCTGAATAGGACAATTCTAACTGTCTTCTATTTCCAGGTATTATAACGGTTTTGAAATAGTAGTCTCATAATCTACTTTTTAAAAAGAAATAAAAAGAAGAAAACACCATATAGCCCAGAGTATGGCACTGATGTTTCTCTAGCACCTAATTCAATTGTTATTGAAAATATCTTTTAAAATTAATCCTGTTTTCCCTTAAAGACTCCTAATCAGACCAAACCTTTTGCTCAATAAATTGCTGCTAATTAAACATGCAGTGTCATGGACTGAATTTGTAACTAGTCTTTTGAACTTTATTAAGTATAATTAGACACAAATTAGAAGCAGGTGATTATGAATAAACTATTAAAGGAAAGGCAGTAGGAACATTTTATAGCCCAGGCTATTCAGATGTACATATATACAAATCCTACTGCATTTTAATGGCAGTGGTTTCCTATAAAGAAATTATTTAGCACAATTTTTATACTACCAAACTGAAAAATAGTTTCTTACAAGTCCCAGTTCTACATCGGAATAGGTCATTGGTATTATCTATTCTTTGAGGGAGACAGAGTTCCATTCTTAGAATACCAAATTACTAATCCTATCAGTCATCATAAGCATTTAAGGAATGTACATGCCTTTACTCAGACACCAACAATCATATTTTAACCACCCAGTTGTTGAAAATTATGTGAAAGCTAAGGGAAAGTTTAACATTTTCTCCTACATAAACTCAGTCAGTCTGTCTATGACAAAATTACTTTATTGAAGTGCTCAGGCATGCACAAACGGAATGCACTGTTTTTCTAACTGCTAAATTTCTGAACCAGTGGAAAAAAACTTCATCTTTATTCAAAGCACTAACCACACTACAATACACTTTAACACTGCAATCACAGGCAGCATATGAAATCTTATTTGTGAGTAATGAACTCAATTTGGTTGTTTTAAGGAAAACAAATGAAATTTCAAATATATTAAGAAATAAAAATAGTTTAAACATACAAAACACATCAGTATTTTTTAGTGACTCTCCATTTACTCAGGTGTTTTTTCTTATTAAATTTTGATATGATCTATAGTTCATCTACACCTCTACCAATTGTAATGCCTAGGAGAGATATTTCTAGGTGTGTAGAGCTATGAATTAAAAAAAAAAAAAAAGCCAAGTTAAATGGAATCTCTCAATTCTCTAAAATCATTACAAAGACAAGAATAAAAGAGACTATATTACATATACTAACACTTGCACTGAGGAAGATGGAAAAATGTAAACTGCTGTCACAACATTTAATCACTTACGTATAGTGTCTGACATCAGTACGGAAAGTCCCAAGGCAAGGTGATTTCTGACAGTATAAATCATATGTTCCAAAGCAGATCCCTGCTTCAATCAGGGCAGAATTGTTTTACAAGATGTATATCTGTGGACGAATGGTAATCCCTACCTATCAAGTATATGTATAAACTCTCCTAAAATGGCACCTGGCACATAAATCAGGCTTAATTTAATCAGTCCATGGAAGGAAAAAATGAATGAGTGAATGGCAGCACAAAACAGAACGGAGAACAAAAAGATTCTGCTTTGCCATGACTGCTTCTTGGTGATACTCCTGCTTGTTATCACCAGCAGCACTCTAGATCTCTTGAACTATCATACCTAGAAGAAAATTCCAGGCCTACAGCTTCCTTGCCCTTGTAGCTTCACGCCCAACTCTGGCAGGCCCCTTAGCCTCTTCAACATTTTTTCTAGTCCCAGTCCCAACTCTGGGGCCTACTGCAACAACTCAATTCCATGAATGAAACTCAACTCTTAAAGGTACATGGGGGTGAAAGTGGCAAAAACAAAAAACAAAACATAAAAAACCTGGAAGGGGTGAGAGGGGCACAACCCCCTCCTTCTGAGACTTGACCCAATTAGAATCGGAAGAACTAGTTTTATCATGGAATTTCCTGTTCTGTCCAAGAGAAAATACTCTCTCACTAAAAATTACTAGGCCAGCATTTCCCTAAGTATGTTTCATAGTTAGCTGATATTACTTATGGAAGGAAATTATTGTGTGGTTAAAATAATTTTGGAAATACTGAATTGGTCAAATAAAGTTTTCTTTACTGTAGGACTTCTCAGAGCCTTGAATTATGCTAATATTGTGAATCCCCAAGAATCTTACCCAAACTTAGTTAGGACTCTACCTTTGCTCTCTGACGGATTAAAAGCTAAAAAAAAAATTTTAAAAAAATTTTCACTTTCTCTTAATATGTAAAACGGCAGCTAGAGATCAAATGAAGCGATTTTTGCAGTAATAGAGAAGTGATACACTGTCTTCAATGCCTAGAATTGATTTTAGAAAAGAAATATACTTTAACGAGTGCAAAGTTAAAACTCTGTTGAGTGCTCCAAAAATACCTGATTCAATTGAGTACAGCACTTCAGCATTTTTTCCTTTGTCCTTGTCCAGAGCTGTAACCTGCAACACAACTGAGCCGACAGCTGCTGATTCATAAACCCGCCCTTCATAGGAGGAACTGGTGAACCACGGGGCATGGTCATTTGTGTCGCTGACGTTAACAACAATCCTTGCAAAGTTGCGTTTAACAGGGACATCTTGATCCCGTACCTAAAAGAATCAACACATTATCAGTCCTGTTGGGGTTTTCCTTATAAGTGACTAAAAATCACTCTTGAACACATGAAACCTTTCAGGAATCAAATGTGGCAGAAGGACAAGCAGAATGCCATACCATGACTGTAAGAACATGCTGGTGAATGGCTTCATGATCAAGTTTTTCAGAAGTATAGAGAGAGCCAGTTGCAGGATCAAGACGAAATTTCTTGAGACTCAATGGATCTATACTGCTCTGCAGAGTGTAGATTAGTTTGTTTTTCTCATCCTTATCCATAGCACTGATTTGCAAAATTTCTGTTTCTGGAGCTGTATCTTCAGGAATAACAACTTCATATTTTGATGTAGAAAACTGAGGACGATGGTCATTTGTATCTATTACTTTGATGAATACCTGTAATGAATGAAAAAATGACTCACATAATATTCCTAACTATGATGTTTTCATACTTAATCAGGAAAAAAAAATCTATGTAAATGTACCGATATTTTAGCAAAATAAAGTACAAATAATGAGAGGTAAAAACAACAAAAATCTAGAATCAAAAATATCTAAACAATTTTCTCATTGATATATTATCTAAATATGAGGAAGACAACAAAGACCTTTCTAAATTTTTGAAACTAACTTGGAGACAAGTAACATCTCTTTCTCAAATGTAGAATTAATTTTTCTTAGGTCTTCATAGAGGAGATACCTGTAGATTATTCATGTAAAGATAACAGAATTTAGTTTATCAGGATTTACAGAAGACTAATTTCCTGTATCAGATTTCAATCTGTAACTACCAACCTATTGAGGTGAGTGTGACAGATGGTTATACTATCTAAATTTCTCATTCTAATCTTTGACAACCCAAATTCTTGATAATAGGTTTTTTAACATATAAAAAGGAAAATTAGAAATGTATTTTAGAATGCTTTTGTGATCACAAAACCTGTGTATAAGTGGCAAATATGTTTATTTCCTAAAAGCAACTGAAATAGATTTAAATGATAAGCCGTCTTAAATATGTCAACATAAAAAAATTTACATAAAAAAGCAGATGTTAAAAAACTCAAAAAAACAAAAACAAAAACAAGAAACAAGAAACATCTACTTTGACAATAACAGGATTAATTTTCAGAATGAAAAGACATATATGGATAAGGCATGGTGGAAATCACTACCGACTTCAAAAGATAGTTTACAATTTATGAACAAGAAACCTGAGCTTCATTGGCTCATACAGAACAAAGGGATTTGCTAGTCCAAGTGACACAGGAGGCCAAAGTCCCACAAATCACAGGTAAAGCTGTTAACCACACTAGTACAAGGCTTTACCAGTGTTCTCATAAAAGACTGAAACATGATAGATTTGCAACACTGAATTTTATATGAATACTAAATGCATTCACCAAACCACGAAAAGGTTTTATGTGAAAGTTATGCAAACATTTAAAACTACAGATGCCTCACCGTTAAGGGTCAATTATGATCCAGAAGGGATGGCTATCAAGGTAATTTCTATAAATTAAATCATTATATATTCATTTCCACTAAAATTTAAAAATTACTTTTCCCATGATGAGTATTGGGCAGAGAAGTTTAATTCTGCTCCAAGATCAACTTATCACTATTAAGGAGAAATAGCTGAAAGTAAAAACAACCCTTTTTGATGAGGGAATTTGATTGAAACATATTTATTGGGCACTTACATGTTCAGCACTTGCCTACACAGCACTGAGGGTGCACAGTAAGTATGCAACAGTCCCTGCCCTTATGAAGGTTTCAGCCTCAACAGGCCATGTCTTGTACATACAAAGCCTAGGGTATGTCTCTTCTATTACCAAATAAGCTTTTAAGAGTCCAGAGAGTGGCCTGGACATTCAGAAAGCTCTTAACAAGGAGGTAATTCCTTGCTTGAGTAGGTTTTAGGTTGGTAGGTAAATGCTAATTGGGAAGAGCTCTGTCAAAGACATGAAGGCAAGAAGTGGAACTGAACCCCTATCTTTTAGAGACTGGAGAGAAGGACCTGGAACTAAGGGCTAATACAGTAAAGGAGCAGGAGGTAGGTGGAATCATATGTGCAGAGCCTTGACATCTGAAATGAAGCTGGAGAACTACACATCCTGTAGGAGGGTACTTCAAAAAGTTCTTGGAAAGAAACGTATTATTTTTTAATTCTATTTTTTCCAAGAACTTTTTGAAGTACCCTGTACACTCTGAACCTTTTAAACAGAGGAGATTCACTTTTTCTTCCTCTTCTCAGTCAGGCTGGCCATTCTGGCAGCAGGCAGTACAAGATGAATTGCAGGGACACAGAATAGAGATAGGAAGGTGAAGTGAGTGTCAGGCAGGGGGCTCCTCTTCTCAGTCAGGCTGGCCATTCTGGCAGCAGGCAGTTCAAGATGAATTGCAGGGACACAGAATAGAGATAGGAAGGTGAAGTGAGTGTCAGGCAGGGGGACAAGAGCCCAAACCAGTGTTGATGTACAAGTGCGAACACTTTCTGAGTGTTTACTGGTGACAGGCTCTAAAAGCTGTAAGAGCACGCACACTGCCTGTCATCTCACTTAACCCTCCTAAGAACTCTATGAGCATGATTATTACTACCCCCATTTTCCAGACAAGAAAATGGAAGCAGAGAAGGTTATAGCTGCCCATGGAGAGGAGCAAGAGGCAGAGCTGAAATTCAAACCAAGCTGACTGTCTCAGAGTACATAATGTTGATGCTCGAGAGAAAAATGAAAGAAAATGTGAAAGTGAAGCTGTTTTGAAGAAAGAAAAAAATGTTAACTGGATTTGGTAAGTTACCTGGAGATACAAGATAAAGAAAAGTGATGCGAATTAACACTGGTCAGCACCCTAAGCAGAAAATGGAAGGACAGGAAAGCAAGGAGAAGAGCTGGGTCAGCAGAGCACTGGCAATGCTTTTACGACCCTCGCACCGCCCACCTCAGCTGCACATATACCCTGCTTGACCTACAATGCTCTCCTGCACCTTTGCCGATCTGGCATCTGTGGCTACTGACCTGCATGCACAAACCCTGCTCTGTGGGGCTTTTGGATTTTACCTCCAAACCTGAATCTACCCTGCCGTGTTCCAGGGCCTTATCAATCCAGTTCTGATGTCTGTGTTCCTCTTCATGTGACACCTGCTGCTCAGCTCCCAAGATTCCTATCTCTCTGTTCTCAGCCCCAGATTGGAAACCTAACCCTAACTACTGATTGCTCCCTTTGTCCCACACCTTAACGGGTCAACCTGGGCTCTGTAACTATTCTCTTATATTCTGACTACCTCTCCCTGCCAGCAATTCATTAGGATATTACCAAAATCTTCTGAAAATGACCAGTTACAGAAGCAGAAATGAAACACTAAAATTACAGATACTGTGTCCCTGAAAAAAAAACAAAACTAGAATATATTTCCTGGGTTTTACAGAAATGCTAGTCAATGTACATCGTATTTCATACTAAGCCTTTAACTGTACTAACAAAAAATACAATTTTGGGGAAAGAGGTGCATTGCTAATTATTGGTTTATGTAGTAAATGATAAATGCTGCAGGTTGATGCATCATTCTTAGCATTGAGAATGCTTGGCCATTCCCACTACTTATTAAGTTCCTTTTGCTAGATTTCTGGTTAGTTCATTATGTAAACTGGTCCACAGTTATACTGTTTAAACTTCTCTCAGAATTACTTTTTTTAGATTTATCACAATTCTTGATGTTTTTATCCTCACTTTCATGCTCTAAAGTTTAACTTCAAGGGCTTATTTTTAAAGAGCAAGAAAATGAATTGATTATGCTTGTCTCTAGAATGAGAACAACTACTGACAAAATTAAAATTTTAATGCTATACTGGAACTTTTACATAACAATCTTGAAATGACCCCCAAAGCTTATATTATAGCACACATATATCAATTTTACATACATTAAAAATATACACATTAAAGGAATAAAATCTTTTCACAATTGGCTTTAAATTATCCACTTGCTTATTAATTAAAAAGATAGCATAAACTGTAATTTTATTCTTTAATACAACTAAATCATTTAGCAGATGATCTGTCTCATTTAAGATTTAAAATAGTATAATCTGAAGCTAGAAAATTGCAATTCAGAAGGATTTTATTCTCTAACATTTAACTTCTTCCTTTTTCTTTTAGGACATAACAGATTATACATAAGCTATAAGCTTCTACCATGCTAATTTAACCTCCAAGAGGGCAGTTTTTCTGCCTCTTGTTTTCTACTATTCAGTTTTCAAAATGAATACCTGACATGTAACAAGTGTTTAAAAACTATTTGTTAAATAAATGAATGAATGACTCTCTGCCTCCTTCTGAAACCTCATGATGATTATTCATACAGCAATGTTCCTTCTGCTCAAACAGCCCACACTGAGAGTCAAAGAGAATTAATAAGAAAACAGAGAATTTAAATTTAATTTATAGGGTTTTAACATGTAAGTTAGAAATCCCAGTAATCTGACCATCTCTTAATCATTAGATAGGAACAAATAAATGTGTTAAAGAAATTACTAGAACAATTTTATCAGGGACTTCCAGGAAGATGGTGGACTAGAGGTGCACAGGGTACATTCCTCCCATAGAAAAAGATTGAAATAGGCCCATTGCCATCACTGCCACAGCTGCAGTCACCGGAGCCTATTGTGCTGTCCCAGAACCATTGCCCATTGCACAGCACCAGTCCTGCAGGTGGCCCATAGCTGCAGTGGCAGACTCTGCACATGGGAAAGAGGCAGCTGCAACCGCCACCACCACTGCTGCTGCTGCGAGTTAATCCCACTGCTGCCAAGGACACTGCAGACATGAGGAGGTAGCTGCAGCAGCTGATGATGCTGCCAGCCCCACAAGGTAACCCTGCTGCTGCTGGGAACATCGCATACACAAGGGAGGCAGGTGTAGCCATTGGCACTGCTGCTATCCCCATGAAGTAACCCCAGTGTCACTGCAGACACAAGGGAGATAGAGGCAGATGTAGCTGCTAGTGCCACTACTGCTCCCAGGAGGTAAGCCTGCTGCCACCAAGTACACTGCAGATGCCAGGGAGGCAGTTGCAGCCACTGATGCTGTTGCTGCAGCAAGGTAACCCCACTGGCACTGCAGACACTGTAGCTGTACGGGCCACTACTGCAGACACCAAAATCAAGCAGGTGGCTGCTACAACTGCTAATGCAGCAGTCACTGCCACTGCAGCAGTCACTGCCACTGCCAGTGCCATCGGGCAGCCGCCATTGTTGTGTGAGCAGCACACTGCCACCAGAGCCACCACTGCCATGCAGGCAGTCCGCTGAAGCCACTACCATAATCACTGCAACCAAAAGGGCAGCCTGCTACCACAGCAGCATGCACTGCCGCTATACATCAGACCACCAGCCACTAGACTGAAATGACACAATGAGGGTCACCAGTGGAGTCCCAGGAAGGAGAATAATAGAAGCAACTACTCTACCAGATGACCAGACATCAACACATATACACTAGAAATATGAAGAAACAAGAAAATGAGTCCACCAAAATACCACATAGATGGAAATAAAAATGAGCAAGAATAGTCATTCTTAAATCAGATAAAAGAGACTTTAAACTCAAAACTATAAAAAGAGACAAAGAAGGCCACTCTGTAATAATAAAAGGATCTATCAAGCAAGAAGACATACAATCATAAATATATATACACCCAACAGTGGAGCATCTAGATACATAAAGCAAACACTATTAGACCTAAAGAAAGAGACAGATCCAAATACAGTAATAGTTGGGGACCTGAACACTCCTCTTTCAACATTGGAAAGATCATCTAGGCAACAAATCAACAGAGAAACACAAGATACAAGCCACATTTTAGACCAATTGGACTTGGCAGATATTGACAGAAAATTTCATCCAACAACCACAGAATATACATTCTTCTCATCAGCACATGGAACATTCTCTAGAATGCTGAGTCACAAATCAAGCCTCAACAAATTAAAAAAACCTGAAATCATTTAAGTATCTTCTCAGACCGCAACAGATTAAAATAGAAATGAACAACAAAAGAGATCCAGTAAACTATACAGAGCACATGGAAATTAGACAACATGCTCCTGAACAATATATGGGTCCAAGAAGAAATTAAACAGGAAATCCAAAGATTTCTTGAAACTAATGAAAATAAAGACACATCATACCAAAATCTATAGGAGGCTCCAAAAGCAGTTCTAAGAGGAAGTTTATTGCAAAAAATGCTTACATCAAAAGAATAGAAAGAGTTCAAATAAACAACCTAATGCTTCACATCAAAGAACTAGAAAAACAAGAACAATCCAATCCCAAAATTGGTAGATGGAAAGAAATAACTAAGATCAGAGCAGAACTAAATGAAATAGAGACCCCCAAAATGATAAAAAAGGTCAATGAATCACATAGTGGGTTTTTTGAGAAGATAAACAAAATACACAAACCATTAACTAGGCTAACTTAAAAAAGAAGATAGAAGACCAAATAAAAATTCAAAATGAAAAAGGAGACACTACAACTGAAACCACAGAAATACAAATCATTACAGAGTATTATAAACAACTATATACTAACAAATTTGAAAACCTAGAGGAAACAGATAAGTTTCTCGTCACATACAAACTACCAAGACTGAACCAAGAAGAAATAGAAAACGTGAACAGACCAATAACAAGCAATGAGATTGAAGAATCAGCAATCTCCCAACAAAGAAAAGCCCAGGATCACTTTACTGCTGAATTTTACCAAGCCTTTAAAGAAGAATTAATACCAAATCTCTTCAAACTATTCTTAAAAATTGAAAGAGGCCATTCTTCCAAACTCATTCTATGAGGCAAGCATGACTCTGATACCCAAACCAGACAAGGATACAACAAAAAAAGAAAACTACAGACCAATATCTTTGATGTACATAGGCGCAAAAGCCCTCAATAAAATATTAGCAGAAGGCATCAACCTATCCAAAAACTTATACACCACAATCAAGTGGGATTCATCCCAGAGATGCAAGGATGGTTCTACATATGCAAGTCAATAAATGTGATACACCACATCAACAAAAATCAAGGACAAAAACCATATGATTATCTCAATAGACATGTAAAAAGCATTTGACAAAATTTAACAAAGCTTCATAAAGACTCTCAGCAAATTAGGTATAGAAGGAAAGTAACTCAACATAATAAAAGCCATATATGACAAACCTACCACCAATATTATCCTGAATGGGGAAAAGCTGAAAGTTTTTCCCTTAAGAACAGGAACAGGACAAGGATTCCTAATCTCACCACTCCTATATAAAACAGTATTGGAAGTAGCAGCTGGAGCAATCAGGCAAGAGAAAGAAATAAAGGGCATTCAAGTTGGAAAAGATGAGTCAAATTGTCCCTCTTGGCAGATGACATGATCCTATACATAGAAAAACCTAAAGACACTAGAAATCAACATGCAAAAATCAGTAGCATTTTATACTCCAATAATGAACTAGCAGAAAAAGAAATCAAGAAAGCTAGCTCATTTACAACAGTCACCAAAAAAAATAAAACACCCAGGAACAAATTAAACAAGGAGATGAAAGAGCTCTACATATCACTACTAAGAACTACATATCACTGCTGAAATAAATTAAAGAGGGCACAGAAGATGGAAAGACATTCCATGAATAAACACTGGTAATACCTAAAGTGATCCACAGATTCAATGCAATCTCCATCAAAATACTAATGACATTTTTCACAGAAATAGAAAAAAAAAATCCTAAAATTCATATGAAATAGCAAAAGACCTCAAATAGCCAAAGCAATTCTGAGCAAAAAAAATTAAGCTGGAGGCTTAACACTGACTTCAAATTATACTGCAAAGCTACAGTAACCAAAACAGCATGGTACTGGCATAAAAAGGGACACTCAGACCAATGAAACAGAATAGAGAACCCATAAATCAACCTACAAACTTACAGTCAAATGAGCTTTGACAAAGGCACCAAGAACATACACTGGGGCAAAGACTGCCTCTTCAATAATTGGTGCCAGGAAAACTTGACACCCACAAGTAGAAGAATGAAACTAGATCTATACCTCCTGCCATATACCAAAATCAACTCCGAATGGATCAAAGATTTACATATAAGACCTGAAACTATAAAACTACCAAAAGAAAACATAGGGGAAAAACTTCAGGACATACGACTGGGCAAAGACTTTATGGATATTACCCCAAAGCATGGGCAACAAAAAGAAAAATAAATAGGATTTTACAAACTAAAAATCTTCTGTACAGCAAAAGAAACAATTAACAGAGTGAAAAGACAACCTAAAAGTGGGAGATAATATTTGCAAACTATGCATCTGACAAAGGATTCATATCCAGAATATATAAGGAACTCAATGGTAAAAAAACAAATATCCAATTAAAAAATGGTCAAAGGAGTTGAATAGGCACTTCTCAAAGGAATATATACAAATGGACAACAGACACATGAAAAAATACTCAACATCACTCAGCATCAGGCAAATGCAATCAAAACCACAGTGAGACATCACCTCACCCCATTTAGACTGTCTGTTACCAACAGGACAGAGAATTAACAAATGTCAGTGAGGATGTGGAGAAAGGAGAACCCTCCTTCACTGTTGGTGGGACTGTAAATAGGAAAACAGTATGGAGGTTCCTCAACTACAGAGAGAACTGCCATATGATCCAGCAATTCCACCACTGGGTGTATAACCAAAGGAATGAAGATCACCATGTTGAAGGGATACCTAAACCTCTATGCTTCCTATAGCTCTATTTACAATAGCCAAGAGCTGCAACCAACCTAAATGTCTATTGTTGGACAACTGGATAAGAAAAAGTGGTATATTTACACAATGGAATATACTTACTGTGCCATGAAAAAGAATGAAATACTGCCCTTTGCAGAAACATGTATAGAAAAAATTATATTAAGTGAAATAAGCCAGGCACAGAAAAATACCACATACCTTCACTCACTAAGTGGGAGCTAAAAAGTAAACATGTAAATTTTTAAAAAGGAAGATACAACAATCACAATAATATGTTTAACTTTCAAAAGGAAACAACAGAACTGAGGTTACCAGAGACAGGAAAGGGGGAGGGGAGGGGGCTTAAGGGAAGAATTGGTAAAGAGCTATGAAAAATTATTACAGTGTATAATGTCGAATATACTAATTATCCTGATTTGAGCATCATATATTGCATACAGATATTGATATTCCACTCTGTACCCCACAGGTACATACAATCAAGTACGTTACAATAAATAAAAATTTTTTTAAAAAAGGCAATTAAAAATTTCCTAAGAAGCAAAAAAACCAAAAAACAAACAACAAACAAAAACCCCCCAATTTTATCAGTCATTTTTCACTGCCCCAGTTAAGGTAGCCAAGGAGGAAAAAATATTTTTAAAAATGATTTAAAAGATTAATTAATCACGTTAACCAGCTTTATTGAAAATGACTTAGACAATTCATCCTCAACAGTGATTGATTCACTTTACATTACTTTAGATCAAAAATAAATATAAAATTAGAAGATTGTGGTAGCATAACAACACGGTTTGGTTTTGTTTTTGTCTTCGAAGACTTCTGTCAAAATTTTTAAAACTGCTTAATTATATGTAAAACCTAAATCAGGATTAACAGTTAATTCCACCCCCCACCCCGCCCCCCGCCAAATCCTCGGTGTGTATGCGTATAAGATATATCAAAATACTGACTTTAAATTTTAGAACTTATCATATTGGGTGCCGGCCCGGTGGCGCACTGCTACAGTGCGCCGCTTGGGAAGCGCAGCGGCGCTCCCGCTGAGGGTTCGGATCCCACATACAGACCGGCCGCTCACTGGCTGAGCGAGGTGCGGGAGCAACACCAAGGGCTGCGATCCCGTAGCAGGTCCCGATCCGGTACGGGTGTGACACTGAGGGTTGCGATCCGTTGCCGGTCACGGAAAAAAAAAAGAACTTATCATATTGTCTGTGGACCCTTAAATCAGAATGCTACCTCAATCCTCGGACAAATACATCATTAGCAATTCCCTTACCTGAGTAAGGATGGTGGTGCTTCCATCTGTAGCTTCCACTGTGAGGTTATAGTTTGATTTTTGCTCTGCATCAAGAGGTTTGGCGACAATGATGGTTCCAGTGCCCTTGTCCACATCAAAGTGACTGTCATAGTTGCCACCTAGTTTAAATTAGAACAAATAAAAGTAAAAACAGATCACAGGATGGAAATATGTCATTTTTTTGTGACTTTCTAATACTTAATGGCAGTGAAAAAAACACTTCTAATATAGTGATCAAAATGATACCAAGAAACAAGCATTCTGAAAGAGCGGCCAGTTAGAAAAACAATACTAAGGCAAAACTGAACCCTAATTGTCAAGAAAACTACTAATTGAGAGGAAGCAAGAAAGAAATAGAAAACAATAAAACATTGCTAATATTGCCAATCTGTTCATTTCAATTTGCTTTTTCAGGGGTTCTGAATATCTCTTCAATTTATATCTCAGTAGCTACATGAAACATCATTGGCCACTTAAAAGTTTAAATTTCAAATTTCAAAAAAATTTTCAAAAAATTTCTGTAATAGTTTCAGCATATTGCCCTCATAAAATAACTATCAAAAATAACTGTTAACAGAAAAAAATAGTGGTAGTTAACTTAGACTATTCCTAACTACTATACATTATTTGAAAAGATTTTTTTCCCATTCTTGTCAAATACAAAGGTTTAATGAAGCCAAAGTTTCTGTCCTATTAATATTATCCAAATGTATCCTCAATTATATTCTAGATAAAACTCTCTTTTCAAATCCATTGAGTTTGAGATACTTAAATCAATGAAATGAAATGGAATGAAAATAAGTGTTAATGTTATGATGAAGTTTTCTACTACTAAATCTAACCAAAAAGCAAAACAACACACACATACAAAGTTTTAAGGCAAACCTAAAACTACAGATTTAGGGATGAATTAAAAGTTGACATATTTGCAACTGGAATGAATGACACCATGTGCACACTGAAAAGAAATAGCAATGAAAGTAGTCACTGGAAATAAAAAAGTTCTAAAAAAAAATCAATGTTTTCATTTTAGATCTCATAATCTGAGGCAAATTATGTGATCTCAGCAGATACCTTCTGCTGTACAGTTCAGGTCACAAGTCATCTGAAAGATGTAAAAAACTTCTCTAGCAAGTGTATCTCCTGGCACAGCCAAAAAGAAGCAAGCAAGCATGAAAAGCAAGCACAGAACAAGAAGAACAATCAATGAAACCAGTTCTAAACACAGTAGGTATTAAACAGCAAAGTCAGATACTGCACCACAGCAGCATGTCAATCTGGAAATGTGATAAAAGTTAACAGAAAGCAAGCATTTTTGATTATAGTAGGTTATGAAAATATTCTTTTTTTTTCTTAAAACTAAGCTGTAATGGTTTCATAGGTGTTGATGACATCAACAATTTCATACAATGACCACAACTGGGGAAAACAGCCCAACCGTCTAAGTGTGAAAGTTCAAGAGGTAAAGCCTGGACCACACATCCACCCTGCGATCCCTGCTGTGGCCTGTCAGCTTCAGCCTTCTGAAAGAGCATTTGGGGGTAACATGGCTCAAGGGTGGAAGAGGCAAAAAGGATATGTAGTTCCAGCTAGAAATGAATCACGAAACAGACTTCTGATCATAAATATCCTTGTAATTAAAATATTGTGAAGAAATAGAATGAAAAAGGTCTAAGATAGCAAAGTGTAATGTGAATTTTTAAAAGTATGTTGACTAGAGTATAGTAGTTCCCCCTTACCTATGGCTTGGCTTTCCATTGTTTCAGAAATTACTAAATTTTGTGGTTTCTGAAAATATTACATGGAAAATTCCAGAAAGAAAGAATTCATATGTTTTAAATTGTGCACTGTTCTGAGTAGCATGATGAAATCTTTCTCCGTCTCACTCTGTCTCGCCTGGGACATGAATTATCCCTCTGTCCCATATACCCATGCTATCTATGCTCTGAACTTATTAGTCACTTAGTAGTTGTCTTGGTTATCAAATCAACTGTCATGGCATTGCAGTGCTTATGTTCAAGTCACCCTTATGAGGGAATTTCAAAAAGTTCATGGAAAAATGGAATTAAAAGATAATATGATTCTGTCCATGAACTATTTGAAGACCTGTTGTGTTTTACTTAATAATGGACCCATAGTGCAAGAGCAGTGGTGCCGATAATTCGAATATGACAAAGAGAAACTGTAAAGTGCTTTCTTTAATGAGAAGGTAGAAGTTCTTAATAAAGAAAGGAAAAAAAAATACGGTATATGTTGAGGTTGCTAAGATCCATAGTAACAACGAATGCTCTATCTGTGAAACTGTGAAGAAGGAAAAAGAAATTCATGCTAGTTTTCATGTCACACCTCAAACAGCAAAAGTTATAGGCACAGTGCATGATAGTGCTTTGTTAAGATGGAAAAGGCATTAAATTTGAATGTGGAAGACATGAAGAAAAACATGTTCCAACTGACAGCAATGGGATTTGGTACTATCCACAGTTTCCAGGCATCCATCCACTGTAGGTCATGGAATGTATACCCCACCGATAAGGGGGGATTATTGTATTACATTCTATGTCTGAGCTAAATTAAATGACATGAAAAAAAGATTTCAGCATGTAAATTTTATTACAGGTTGAATAATCTAATGGATCCTTCTTCTTATTGAAAATTAGGTAAATAAACTGAGAAATCATAGATGGCACTATAATTTTTAAGTTATACACTCACAATTTTGTAAGCCTATTCTCTATAAAATAACGAAATGTGACAGACACGTACATGTTCCAACCGTATTCATTAAAAATAATAATGTGCCATGTTTTATATCAGTTATTAAAAATTCAGAAGTTGCATTTTTGAAACAAAATATGTAGGTTTCTCTGTAACTCCTTGATGCATTTTTAAAAAAACCTTATTTTTCTATTATGAGTTGGTGGATATAGAGTACCTACTTTAAACAAGTTTAATATATGTTTTATACTGTGAAAATTTTTGCAATCCAAATATTACAATTCAAAGCAAATTCTCTACCTATAGGATAGGCCCTACTTACAATTTTAAATTCTGACATGTACACAAAACCCAGAAAATCATATGCAGGTTCTCTTCAGTGTAACCTATACAAGAACAACGAAATCTATGAGGAATGCTTACCAATGATGTCAAACCAAAGAGGGGTACCAGGAGGCTCAACAGATATCACTCCAATCATGTGAGCAACTGGATCGCTTTCCATTACAGTAAAGGTAAAAGATGATTCTTCAAATGCGATGGGCTCTGGGGATGGTTTGGGTTTGGAGATCCATTCAATATGGAGTCTAGTAGTTGATGACTTTTGAGGGCGACCATTATCAACTGCCTTAATCTATAAAATATAGGCAGAGGATATATAAAAACAGTAATCAGAAATTACATTCCCATAACTGAAGCACAGATTGGTTCAGTTTAATACTTAACCAATTTCAAACATTTAATATTTGTATCTGAATACGCCATGTGTTTAACGCTTGATAACCACGTCATGACCATGCTCAACATAAATGATAAGCAACTAGAGTGACAGATGAAAAGAAAAAAAAAAACCATTCTCCTCAAACATTTTCAAGCATTGCCTAATTGTTAGGCCACAGACACTGAAGACATTTACTGAACAGAAAAAATGTTACAAGAGAAGAAACACAGGACTAGGTTCATAGTCAAAGCACATAAAAAAATTCCAAGACTATGATCTTAACTCACAGAAAGAATATCATATTCTCCAGCTCCAGAAAACTTTTTGGAAGAAACCACTCCAGTTTTTGGTTCGATAAAAAATTTGCCATGCTCGTTCCCATCTTCGATGCTGTAGGAGATTTCCGCATTGGGACCTTCATCTTTGTCTGTAGCTATAACTCGATACAGAGGCTCTCGTCTGGCGTTTCTTTCTCGTTCTGGTTTTTCCCGCTCTGGGAGTCTGATTTTGTAGAACTTTTGCAGGAACTGAGGTTTGTTGTCATTTTCATCAAGGATTTTCACAATGACTCTTGCAATGGTTGACTTGGGAGGACTACCATTGTCTGTCACAGTAACCTGTTTTTTAACAGTAACAGATAAACAAATGTTTTTAAGAAACACTATACAAAAAGCAAATGCCTTCTTCCTAATGATAATCAGCATTTGTGTAAACCTCTACAGTTCACACAGCACTACGATGCATACCATCTCCTCTCATTGTGACAACCACCCTGTAAGGAGGGAAGGCAGGTAAACTTCTCACACTTTCACAGACAGGGACTCTGGGAGCTGTGCAACGGCTGAGAAACAGACAGCTGTTAGCTCTCACTCTTTCCTTACCATGCAGTCTCTCCTCCTTGTACTACCACACCTGTAAAGTGAACTTCGTCATTTGTTTAAGCTACCAAAAACTTAATATTTTTAGGCCATGAAAGACAAGTGACAATTTTGCTTCAAATATTTACCGAGTACTCTTAAAATATATATACACTCTGCATACTTAATAAAATCTCCATATACTGCATTTAAAAACTATAATTTTTAAGACTTGTCAATAAAATATGCTAAATCGTCATTTTAAAATAAATGTCAAGAAGTACAACTTTTAATACTAGTAATCATTTTATTTGTGTTTGGCTGTTTTCTTGTACAGATTTTTTAATGCTTAGGAGGGTGGACATAAAAATTTAAATTTAAGACCAACTTATTAAATAAGATTTTCAGTAAAAGGAATGTAAATAACATCCATTTAAGTAAATCATGTATTCAGTTTCGGAATAAATATCAGAAGTTCTTGAGGAATGCAATAGTGACTGTTTCTATACACACAAGAGACATTTCACCTTTAAATCAAATGTTCATGTTTACATCAATGTGTACATTAAAAGTAACAACCTTAGTAACAGTTATTCTTTCCTCATCCACACTCCCACCCCCTTCCAAATTAATTACCGAAATACTAAAAACATTAAAGTAGACTGAAGTTTTCCATGAAGCAATTTTCTTTTTGAAGCCTGGTAGTTGTAAATCCGATTATTTATAAAAGTATGAATGCACCCTGATGGCACTTGTCAACAGTATTTAAGTAGCTGCTTTACTTTACATGATTTACCTTCTAAGCTTTTCAGAATAAACGAAATAAAAATTACTATTTTAATTTTAACCTCTCAAAACATTTCCTCTTCGTCAGGTTTCATATGACCTTGAGAAAAAAAATGAAAGTGAAGTACAATCAAGATTATGCTTTTTAGTATCCATCACCAAACTGTTCCTAAGTTTGGGTTCAATAAAGAGTAGCCAATCACAGCTTTTAACATGTGATGAAAAAGAAAACTCTCTTTAAGACAGCCAAATCAATGCCAGCACAGGCTCTTAAATATATCATCACAGACTACAGAAAAATGTACAAGATATATAAACAAACTATTACAAAACCTTATTTCCCATCTGTTTATTTTCTTCAGTAACCATATTCTTCCCTTCTGTTAATCCCCGTGGTGACTGAATGAAAATTCAAAACTCTGCTCTTTCATAAAGAAATCAATTCAAGAAAACTGCACAACTTATGAACTAAAAGCTCAGATGTAACATATGAGGAAATTACTAATAGGGAGAGCATGGTGGCTGTGAAACCACCTTCTTTAGATGGGATATTCAACTCATGTACACACACACTCCACAACTATTAAAAAAACAAAACAAAACAAACAAACAAAAAACCTAAGTATTTTACTGACAAAGTTAGGAATCTCGACCCAGGATGAAATAAAATTAAGCAGGCAGCATTATGAACAGCAATAATATAAAAAAAGGATTGAAAAAAAAATTAAGGTTTAGAATTTTCTAGATTATTCATAATGTTAGAATGGAAAACGTGCACAGGTAACTCAAAATTAAACAAAAGCATGTACTTTTCCAGGTCTGGTTCTAATAATCCTGACAAAGTTAGGAATCTCGACCCAGGATGAAATAAAATTAAGCAGGCAGCATTATGAACAGCAATAATATAAAAAAAGGATTGAAAAAAAATTTAAGGTTTAGAATTTTCTAGATTATTCATAATGTTAGAATGGAAAATGTGCACAGGTAACTCAAAATTAAACAAAAGCATGTACTTTTCCAGGTCTGGTTCTAATAATCAACACTTGCCTTCAACATGGGATACAGAAACATCAACAAAGTCAGTTGGTTTGTTCTGCTCCGTTTTCCCTCTCCAAAGGCTGCCTTTTCTCTTGGCTTCTTCCTAGTTTGCAGGCAATGTCACCCAGAAATCTCATCAGGTCTGACCTCCACTTTACACTCTACTTTCCTCCTCCTACAGACTACTTAGCCCTTTTCTGCAAAGTACTTACTACCAAGCAGAAACATCGTGAACAATAAATAAGAAGCTGTAGTTTTTTGTTTTTCTAAGGATTAGAAGGCATTTTAAATTAACCATGAGAATAAGAAGGCTTCATTTTAGAAGAGCACGTCAGACGTCAATCTACTTTCACTTTAGAAATTTTTAAAAAATCACAAACTTCATAGTTTAAAATGTAAAAATAATACAATTGTTTAAAAGAGGAAAAAAATGGAAATAAGCTAACTATAGTTAAAGAAAGGTTGAACAAGACTCATAAGTACCAATATAAATATATCTCAAAAAAATGATACAGGAAAAAGAGGTAGAAGGTATACAGAAAAATATCACGTATAGAAATGAAAATGAAATCTAAATAATATTTACAGTTGTATGTGCTCTATGTGTGTGTGTGATACAGGAAAAAGAGGTAGAAGGTATACAGAAAAATATCATGTATAGAAATGAAAATGAAATCTAAATAATATTTACAGTTGTATGTGCTCTATGTGTGTGTGTATGCATGCATATTATACAAAAACTAGAATGAAACTTATGACAGCAGTCGTGTATTCTAGGGATGGAATGAGGCAGGCAGAAGGGACATGAGCTACATTCATGTTTTATTTTCCCTTTTGTTAATTACCAGAAGCTAACATAACAAAATATTAACAGTTATAAATAACTGGCTAATGAGAATAAGATTGTTCTTTCCCATGATATTTATAATTACAGATATTTAAAAGATAATTAAAATGCTTACTTCTAATATGTGTTCATCTTGCTGCTCTCGGTCTAGTTTCCTTGATGTAGTTGTGATGAGACCTGTAAAATGATAAAAGTTTATTACTCCTCGCGAAATACAGCCAAGTACAAGGTATTGTCATCAAAACCATACTCTTGTTAACTTCTCCAGCGATAAGTGAGAATTGAAAGAAATGACTTCTATATCAGAAAGGACCACTGGAAAACATAAAGTTGACTATACTCTATTACCTTTGAATCATCTATTCTCAAAACGAAGAAATGTTATAAAAAGTAATATAATTTTCCTGGTAATATTGCTCAGTCCTTTACTTTCCAATAAAAGAAGAAAGTAAGTGGCTCTCAAAGAAATTACATTTTCTTCATTTCATTAATTTTCCTATTAAACTAGAATATGTATAAGTTTCAACCTCTCCTTAGAACTTTAGTAACTGTCTGCTAAACTGTCAACGTATATTATAACCTAGAAGACCATTCAAATTGATAAAATGTATTCTTGTACTTTACCAAAAATACAAACAAAAAAAATTCCCCTAACCACTAAAATATCTTCTGCAATCTGTGTTGTCACTGGACACGTGCATGTTGAATGGCCTGTACACATCAGAAGTGAAGATCAGGTAAAGCCTATGTGGCAGGATGACTCCTAGTTAGGGTGAAACATTCTCTTGCCCAGCATTCCGGGTTTTTTTTGAAAACACTTCAAATCTTCAAATCATATCTAAGAATAAACTTTACTACTCTAATTTATTTACTCCTGTAATCCTGACTAATTTCACAGAACTACCAATTAAAGGCTATTCAAAACGTTTCTCTAAATTTGTAAATGAAAGGTTTGTGCTTCCATTTAATTCAAAGCTTTGTTTTTCTTAAATAGTTACTGAGAATCTAAACCAGCATTATCTTCCCCACAATTCCATGAAGCAGTGCTTTCCTTTTAACAAGAGCAATAAAAGATTATACAGTAGCTAGATACTGAGATTTTTCCCAAACCATACTTATAGATTAAAAAGGACTCAAGAAAAATGCTCCAGACTTCTTAATGGCCTGAGAATGCTGCTTAAATATGCCAGGAGCTTGATGTTCATTCATCAAAAACCTTTTAAGTTAATCCCTTTTTTCTTATCAAAATTTACCACCCTCTCCTGACTGAAGTTTTAAGTAATTTAAGAATGACAAGAAATCACAAATCATTGATTAGTCCCATCTAATTGTTCTAAGATGCCCATCAAAAAGTTGTTACTAATGGCAACAGCACATGGAATAACAGCTTGGCATGTTCACAACAAAATAATGTTCTTAGTCTGTATAGCACTTAATCATTCACCAACAGCATTGCACAAATATCTATTAGCACATAAAATTTCCCATTTTACAATTTACTTATGGCACACCAGAGGTAACAGAAGATGTGCCTACATCCATACTACCAAGCCCATATAAAGCCAAAAAGCAACCTGACCATCTCCTTCCGAGGTCTGGAATTATTTGCATGTTCTATATTATATGCTTTAAATTAATTCTCCTCTGTTAACTCAGAACACCATTCAAGTGCAATGAATTGTAATCCTCCTTTCTTATCCATGTTGCCTGACTACTATTCACTCCTTCACCTCTCAGCATAAACTGAAATGAGTTTAAACTTATTTGAGGCCTTCTCTGACAGGTCTAGCCTGGGGTCCTGCTGCTGGGTTTTCCAAGCCCCTTTATTTCCTCTATCATAACATCACATTGCACAGTATTACAGTCACTCATTCAGAAGTCTTTTCTATATTGCATAGCCCATGAGGACAGAGACTTTGTCTTTCTCCTACAGCTTGCTATTACCCTCAAAAAATACTTAAACACGTGAATTTCTTAAAACTATAAAAGAATCAAAAATATGTATTAGAGTAAGAGATATATATAAACTACTCTAAACCTGGAAATGATACAAATTTACAGCTTATATATGAGCTAACTGAGACAATTTAATGTAAATGATGGGCCTACAAAAAAAATAAAGAAAATGGTGGGCCAATCTTAAGCCTAAGAAACAATCTGCAGGAAGACAAATCTCAGTGTCCCAGAAGCCCAAGGCAGAGAATTTCAAGGAGGAAGGTCCTCCTCCATGTATATTTCAGAGAAGCTTGGAAGAGATAAGAAAGTGAGAGCCAGGGAGACCAATCTGCAGGAAGACAAATCTCAGTGTCCCAGAAGCCCAAGGCAGAGAATTTCAAGGAGGAAGTTCCTCCTCCATGTATATTTCAGAGAAGCTTGGAAGAGATAAGAAAGTGAGAGCCAGGGAGACAGGAAGTAGGCCAGGAAAAGCATTTCTTTTATGAAGAGGAGAGCATTTAGCATGTTAAAATAGAGTATATATAATAAATGACTGGAAACAAGACAGAAGATGAAGATCTAGACCTCACCTAACAAATAAGTAGTTACGAGCCTCATGAGGCTACTGAAATTTAAATTAAATTAATTAAAATTTAATAGAATTTAAATTTTTAATTTGACCACATTAGCCACATTTCAAGTGCTCAGTGGCCACCAAGGCAGATGTAGAATATCCCCGTCATGGCAGCACTGATCTAGACATGAGATACAATTCACAAATCAAGATCCTGTAAGAAACCTCGCAAGTTTGGTTTACTGTTCTGTGGAAAACATGAGAGATATTTCAGACTGATAAAAAACATTTTCTTTCTAGATTCACAATGCCCCTACCAAAAAGAATCTTATCAAAGGTGTCACGGTGCATCTCCTGAGTGCCACCACCAGGGGGACAGGCTGGCATGTGCACTTTCTGGGGGTGGCATGAAGCAGTGTAGCCCTCTTGAAAGGGTAAAGTTAGTGCTTCTCATGGGATTTTCATACAAAAGGAACCTTGAAGAGAAAATAAAATGTCCGAATGAAGTAGGAAAATACTAGGAAAACTATGGCTGGTTTTTTTTCCCCTGACCGGTAAGGGGATTGTAACCTTTGACTTGGTGTTGTTAGCACCACGCTCAGCCAGTGAGCGCACCGGCCATCCCTATATGGGATCCGAACCCGCAGCGTAGGTGCTGCACCGCACTCTCCCGAGTGAGCCACGGGGCCAGCCCATGGCTGCTTTTTGGAGGTACTCACTGAGAGCTTAATCAACACCCTCGGAATGCTATCTGAATATGCCATACTCCAGCCACAGCCAGCCAGCTGTAGAATTTATTCCGTGTTTACACTCACTCTTGCCCCTGTGCTTTTGCACATCTCATTCCTGCTAACCCTTCCCCCTTGTCCACTTGACAAACACCTACTTCAAAACTGAATCTTAAGTACACTTTCTCCATATACCCATTACATGTTATTAGCCTTATAAGTATTAAGTGTCCTAATAAGTATATGCATTTCTTTTATTTTAAACATTTGTGCTCACCTGCAATATTTTTTGCTAAACCCCAGAAAGATATATACTTAATAGAAACAGTACAGAATTTTTAGAGCTGGAGAGAAACCTTTAGGATTATCAAGCTCAGTTGCCTGTGCCAAAGAGAAGTTAAATTTTTCCAAGGTCACCAGTAAGTCGATAACAAAGCCAGGATTAGAATTAAATTCTCCTCAGGCTCAGATGAAAGTTTTTTTTCCCCCCTCTCCATCACACCAAACTACATAACTCACTGCATTATGGTATTTCAACTCTCCATAAACTCAGAACTGTGGTTTCTATAAAGGATAAGAAAAAACAACAATATTTAATCATTATTCATTTAATAGGTATAAAAAAGCAAATAAGAAAATAAAATAGAGTGGGCAAGAGCAGGAAAATGTGTATGTAATTGCTTTCCTTTGTAACTTGGTGTTTTATCTTCCTTTTCTGTGGGTACCATTACATTAAAAATAGAAAGGACAAAAACTAGAAATGTTTCTCTCCTTGATCCAGAAAAACAATGCATTTTATATACCAATACTATTGTAAATGTGGATGAGCTGAGATAGCAGAGACAGTATCTTTTCATCAATTAGCAGTTATAAATTTACCCCATAAATGTAGGTGCAACTAAGGAAACAACCTTTACTACATTTGATGAACATCATTAAAAAACTATTCATTCAATGCCATTTTAGATATTCAGAGAATTCATTCAAGAGAGGGAAAATGTTAGAGTAGCTATAATATAATGCTTTGATATAAAATTTTATTCTTTGACATTTCTAGTAAATCAATACCAAAAACCATCTCCAAACTTTTCCAAATTCAAGAGATAAAATGGACTTCACAAAGTAGATACCACATAAAAGTGAACACTAAGGGACTAGCAGATGAAGATAATAATGCAAGGCAGTCCATATAGGTGGAGCTATACATATATTCATTCAACTATTTTGTACTGTCCACTAAGAAGTGGAGATAGCCTGGCCTGTTAGCTCAGTTGGTTAGAGGATGGTGTCGGTAACACCAAAGTCAGGGATTTGGATCCCCATACTGGCCAGCCACCAAAAAAAGAAAAATAGGGCCGAGCCCGTGGAGCACTTGGGAGAGTGCAGCGCAGGGAGCCGCGGGTTCAGATCCTATATAGGGATGACCGGTGCGCTCACTGGCTGAGTGCGGTGCGGCCGGTCTCAAAAAGGACAAAAAAAAAAAAAAAGAAAGAAAGAAAAATAAAAAAGTGGAGATGATTAAGACACCTTGTTTTCAAGAAACAAGGATGAAGGCTAGAAGTTGGCAAAGACTACATATGAGAAACAGTAAGACAGACTAGACTGTAGAATACATATGGAAAACGGAGAGGAAAGCTGGGACTCATGCTGAGGGTTCTATATTCCAAGAAAGTTTGAACTTGGTTATTATGAGACACATGTAGTCTATTCATCCTTGATGCTCCAGAAGACAACCAACCAACCATCCAACTGCTCTTAAATTATTTATTAAAGCCTAAATCATCTCCCAGAATCTACAACTGCTGACAAGATCACTAAATCTTGTTAGAACATAAGTTAAATGAAATATAGTCTTTCCAACTTATATAAAAATAAGAATTTAAATGGCTATATAAATTTCCATTTAACTGCACATTTTCTTTCTTTTGAGGTACCTTTGT